GTGGGCGCAGCCCAGTTGGGTGGTCGCCTGATGGGTCTGAGTGGGCTGGGGGTCTCCAGGCATGCAAGGGGGGCGTCCCTACTTCGGTCTGACTTGAGTCAACTCCTCAGATACCCTGCGGTGAACTGCCGGTGGTGAGCTCCTCCTTGACCCCAGGTGGCCCCACCCCAACCCCCGGGGGGGGCAGGGTGTGGATTACGGGGGAGAGGGGGTCCAGCCCAAAGCAAAGATTCGCCTTGGATGCTGGGGGTGAAAATGGGGAATGCGGGTGAGGTGGGAGGGATGTTTGAAAGGGATGGAGGGAGGCCATTTTCTCCTGAGCTCCCCGTCCTTCCTCAGAGACTACCTCAAGTGGCCTCAGAAGGTGAAGGGAGCAACTCTGACCCAGGTGTACCCCAAACTGTGTCTCGCACACATAGGCCCCCACTTTCCTTCTGTGTTCACAGCAAGGAGAGAAGCCAGGGTAAGGCTCCCTCTCCCCTTCACCCAGCACCAGCCTTCCTCCCTGCACCTGCCTGGCATCATACTCCTGGCTCAGGTGTGCCTGGGGCACAATGCACTATTGTGTGCCCCTGATCTCGTCACTAGGGGGAAGTTCATGCTCGAATCAGCTGGCCCTCTGAAGAGGCTAGCCGACTGTCTCCCAGGACTGCAGGCCAGGACTTGGGCCCCAGAGATCAGGAATCCAGGCCACAAGGGCCGTAGCTTCTTGAGCCCGCTTAGGTGGTGAGAAGTCCAGGCACCCGGCAAGAGGCAGCGCATGGAGTAGAGTCTGTCTTTGGTGTGACCGAGGGCACGCTCTTTACACCCCTGAGCCTCTGCTTCCATATCTGTAAATTTGGCACAGTCCTGGCCTCCGGTGGCCTGGACTGTGCAGAGGGATAGCCAGTATGGCTGGTCCAGGCCAGAGAAGTTTCCTGCTTCCCCGCCCCATTGGATCCCCTCACCCCAGCTTCTCTGTCTCCATCGCCAAAGGTTGGTCCTTGTGAAGGAGCAAAAGATTTGGGAGGAAACCTGCCCCTGGCCCTCATGCTTCTGATTGCCTCCGTGGTCGTGGGCAGGTTCTTGGTCTTCAGTTTCTTCAGCTGTGACCAGGCAAAGGGGGGCTTGAACGAGGTGATGAGTCTGAGGGATGTTAATCAAGCTTCYGATTGCCTCCGTGGTCGTGGGCAGGTTCTTGGTCTTCAGTTTCTTCAGCTGTGATCAGGCGACGGGGTGGGCTTGAGCGAGGGGACGAGACTGAGGGTTGTGAATGGTGGGTCTTCAGGCTGGGTGGCATGCTGCTGGGGAAGGGTGTCTCGGCAGTTTCCCAGGATTGTACCTCCGACGTGGTTACCTCCTGCTGCCCCTTCTAGCTGACCTCTGCAAGTGGTCAGTCCCTCACAGGTGTTTAGCATTCATCTGTGCTGAGTCCCTTCTCCTGCTCCAGCTCCTCACCTCACAGGGCGGGTGTGGGGCACAGGCTAGCTGGTTGTAGCCTTAGAAGCCTGGGCAGGCAGGGTACGGCCTGGGGCCAGGCAAACAAATCCAGGATATGAGTGTGAACCCAGGAGCCGGGAGGGGCCAGGTTTCCTGGGGAGAGGAAGCTTCAGCCAGCCTCCCAGCACTGCCTTCCTGCCGGCTTGGTCCTGCTTCTGCTCCCAGAACGTGGTCTCCACCCTCTGTACTGAGCTCCTAGGGAGTGGTGGCTGTGCTACTTTGAGCCCTGCCAGGGACCTATTGTGTGTGTACTTGGGGGAGAGGGGAAGATAAGGTAAGGGGTCGAACTGAGAGAGGGTATTAAGAGACCCCTGAAATGGCCAGCTACCCAGCCAGTAGGCTCCCCCAATACTTTCGCCCCTCCCTTCAACAGTGAGAGCTGACATCAGCTGGCAAACCTGTTTCCCCAGTTGTAGGTCTAGGCCCGCCCTGGGAGCACCCCTGTTTCTGCCCTTCCTTTCCCCTCACAGACCCCAGGTTCATGCCTGCTCACCCCCTACCTCTTGGGGCCACGAGTGGGTGAGGGGGCTGTGGGTGGCTACTGAAGGAGGAAGGAGGGTCAGAGTGCCCCCTGGACATCACTCAGTCTGAGCCCCTCAGAGCCTTAGTGGGGAAACCAAGGCAGGGTTGTACCAAGGTCATTGGACAGGTTTGGGGCAGAGCCTGGCAGAGCTCTGGCCCAGTCTCCATCCTGTGTTCCCTTACCCAGGAAAGGTGTAGTCCTGTGGGCGGGAAGACTCAGGTGGGCCTGCACCCTGGGACGGCACAGGCTGTGTCCTCTGCCTGGAGCCTTCTCCCTCCTGTCTGAGGAGGCCTTCCCCGCCTGTTCCCGCAGCCCAAGCTGGACCTCAGCCCAGGCGTGTCCCCACTTGAACCCTTATTGTGCTTGCTACTCTGCGGTTTCCCCACGCCTCACACTTAGCCGGTGCTCCTTGGGTATTAGCTGAATGTCTGGGTGACTGATCAGGGATGTCTTACCAGAGGCCTGAGTTTGGGCCTGGAGGGCTGAGCGCACAGGAGCAGGAGGAGCAAGCACACGGCAGTGGGAACTGTGAGCGGCAAGTTCGTCGGGTGGGTGGGGGCACATCCAGAGGACTCAACCCGGCCGGGCTTCCCCAGTGAGGGCTTAGGAAGTGGGGGAGAGGATAAGGGGACTGGGGCCGCACCCAGTAGGCTAGCAGTTGGGTGGCTGTCGAGGTTATGCAAAATATGCAGCTGAGTGGCCCTCTTTCAGGCTGGAGCAGTAGTGCTGCTCAGTAGCCCTCCAGTGAAAGGGAGCGTTGGGGAGCATGAAAGCTGAGGGGTACTTAGGGTCCCAAAAGTCAGGACAGGGCAAACAGTCAGGGTTCAGGTGGGGAGCCTAGGCTGAACTCTCTGCTTATGCTATTGAGGACTCAGGGTTCTAGGAAGGTCAGGTCAGAGCCCGAGCTGACCTCGCTCTGCCCGCCCCTCCCTGGTCCCTCACCCCTGACTGATGAGCTCTACTGCCTCATGGAAACCTAGTCAGGCCCTCTGCTCCCTCCGAGACCTTAGCTGGGTCATATTTCTTCCTTTGCCTCAGTTTACCATCTTGAAATGGGAAAAAGGACCTCCTTGGTGCTTGACCCCCCCCCCCCCCCGCAACCCTCTTCCGTACCTTAAAGGGGCAACCAGAGTTTCCTCCTACCTGCCTTTATTACTGAGGCAACTGAAGACGGAGGGACTGAGGTGATGGGGAGAGTAGCACAGAGTCCAGGGTTGGGGGAGGGGCTGGTAATCCCTGGAGCTTTTATGGCAACTGGGGAGCTGATGTGGAAGTGTGGGGTCACTGTGGAAACAGGTCAGTTACCATGGGGACCCTGAAAGGAAATGCCTGTTTTCCAAAGTGATAGGACAAGGGGAAGCTTAAACCCTGAAGGGTGTTATGGAGACCAGAAGGTCCATGCCTTTCAAGACCCCATCCCCAGGTAAGGGGGAGAGACTGGCCCAGCCACCTAGGCCCTTGGACCACTAGCCTCAGTTGTCCTTGCCCCTGGCAAAGTCCCCATCTTCCTGCTTCGTTCCTTGGCCCGAGGCCCTCCAAGTCTGACCTCCAGTCGTCCTGGTGTAGCCAAAGGCCACCTTCAGCTTGACGTTGCCATCCCCCTCATGCTGAGTGGGGAGACCCCCACACTTGAAGGAGGTCATCCTGGTCAGGCCCCACCCCACCCTATCCCATTTCTGCTTGCCTGTTCCAGGAGATGGGGTGCTCCCTACCACCTAGGCAGCTCTGACTGGGAAGAGTCACCACTATGGAGCTTCAGTCTTCTCTCCCTACCCTCCTTCTAGCGCTAACCTGGGGTCCATGAAGATCCTCCCATTCCACCTGCCTGGGACAGCCAGCTGGGGAGTGGCCCATGGGACCTTGGCTCTGCCAGTGAACCAAGGTCTGCCACTCATCTGTCACTCATGGAGGTGGGTGGGGAGAAGATGAGTGTTGCCCTGGAATGCCAAGGGCTTGGGAAGGCAGAGCCCGTGAATTTGGGAGTGGAGCTCCCACTCACCTTACCACATGCTGGTGGGTGTGGTTGGAGAGCCTTTACCTGTTAAGCAAAGAGATGGTTTTAAAGAGGCAGCTGAAGCAGAGAGATTAATCGTTTGTTTTGTTTTTTTCATTTTTATTTTATATCAGAATATAGTTGATTTACAATTTGTGTTTCGGTTGTACAGCAGTGACTTAGTTATACATATATCTATTCTTTTTCAGATTCTTTTCTCATATAGATTATTACAGAGTATTGAGTAGAATTCCCTGTGCTATACAGTAGGTCGTTGTTGATTATCTGTTTGTTTTTTTTGTTTTGTTTTTTTTGCGGTACGCGGGCCTCTCACTGTTTTGGCCTCTCCCGTTGCGGAGCACAGGCTCCGGACACACAGGCTCAGCAGCCATGGCTCACGGGCCCAGCCACTCCGCGGCATGTGAGATCCTCCCAGACCGGGGCACGAACCTGTGTCCCCTGCATCGGCAGGTGGACTCTCAACCACTGCACCACCAGGGAAGCCCTGATTATCTGTTTTATGTATAGTAGCATGTATATGTTAATCCCAATGTCCTAATTTATCCCTCCCCCCCCCACCTTTCCCCTTTGGTAACCATAAGTTTTTTTTCTAAATCTGTGATGGGGTTTCTGTTTTGTAATTAAGTTCATTTGTATCAATTTTTAGATTCCACATATAAGTGATAACATATGATATTTGTTGTTTTCTGACTTAGTATGATCATCTCTAGGTCCATCCATGTTGCTGCAAATGGCATTATTTCATTCTTTTTATGGCTGAGTAACATTCTAATGTGTATATGTAGCACATCTTTATGCATTCATCTGTTGATGGACATTTAGGTTGCTTCCATGTCTTGGCTATTGTAAATAGTGCTGTTCATGATACATGAACATTGGGGTGCATGTATCTTTTCAAAGTATGGTTTTCTCCAGATATATGTCCAGGAATGGGATTGCTGGACCACATGGTAGCTCTATTTTTAGTTTTTTAAGGAACCTCCATACTGTTCTCCATCGTGGGCGTACCAATTTACATTCCCACCAGCAGTGTAGGAGAGTTCCCTTTTGAGAGATTAATATTTAGTAAGCTACCGAGTGTAAGAATCAGGTCTGGACTCCAGAACCCATGCCCTCAACCACATTCAATTTGGCACCCCCGGCCTCTGAAGTACCAGACAGGGCTGCATCTTGGGGAAGGTGCTGGCTCTGATGGGGATACATTTAAGCCGAGGAAACACTGAGAGCAAAGCGCATGCAGACTTGTGGCAGTGGGGACAGTGAGTAATATCCAGTGGGGCAGCCAGTGAGTATGGCATGTGAGGCTGGAGATGAGGTGGGCACCACCCGTGGCGGGCTTCGGATGTCGGGGGGAGGCTGTGGACGTGCCCTGGGCCTGTGGTAAGGTGGCTGACTGGCTGCTCAGACAGTAGTGGTAACTGATGGGTCCTGGGGGCGCTGGGTACTGTTTAAGGAACTTTGGGGATGGGGGATTTGGGGCAAGATCTGGTCCCTGAGACACAGGGCAAGCCAGGCCTGATGTCAGGCTCGGGGTAAGGCACGCAGGTCTCAGGCAGCAGTGTCAGGAGCTCAGTGGTCCCTGTCCCTCTGCAAGACAGCCCTACCCACCCATCCATGCCTCAGCCGCCTGCCCTGAGCCCTGCCGGGTTACCTCAGAGTTCTGAGGAAGTGGCAGTTCCACACTCACCCAGGACCTAACCAACCCGTGGGAGCTCCCGTCCTCCAGCACTGAGTGTCCTCAGGGCTGGTTGGGCATAGACTGGGGTCCCTACAGGGGTGACTCTGAGACCCCCATACCCACAGCTTTCTCCCCTGCTGCAAGGCCCTGGGAGGAGTGTGACTGCTCCTGACCTGCCTTCATGGGACGGGCAGGGTTGGGACCCCGTCCCAGTCAGGTTGGGGTGGGGACTGGGCTGGCCCACCGATGTTCCTGTTCTGAGCTGGAAAGGGAAGGAGGAGCCAGCGAGGCAGAGCTTTGAGAGGAGTGTGGGGCTCCTGAGCAGCACAGCCACCTCCTGCCGGCTCTGGAGCCTTCGGCATGCAGCAGTGCCTCCATGCTCAAGGCCCCTGCTCTGCCCTGCCTCCCAGCCCCGGTGCCTGCAGGGACTCCCTCACCCCCCAGCACTGCAGCCTCAAGCCATGGGGCCCAGGTCAGAGCCAGGCTGAGGATTCCCCGGGAGAAGAGGTGAGACCCCCAGAGTCAAGACCGGCAGTTACCCCTACCCCTGCCTACTACTGTGCTCTAGAGACCCCTCCTGCCCCTCCAGAACCCACAAAGGCTGCTGCCTTGATTGCCTCAGACCTGAACCCAGCCCAGCCTGGACCTGCTGGAAGTTTGCGGGACTGGACATGCTGAGGGTGTGGTTCTAGGGACAGAAAGCAGGGGTGTGCAGAGTTTGAGGGGCCCATCAGGTCTGGGAGGGCCGATCCAGGTGATGGCCATGAGGAGGGTGGGAGTTTCCTGCTTAAGTACCAAAAGCCCAAGTCACAGATGGCAGTGGGGCATGGGGAGATCAGAGGCCTGCACAGGAGAATGTGAATCACAGATGTGGGAGGGCAGAGAGGCTGGAGAAGGAGTCCCTGGTTGGACTAGGGGCCCAGAATGCCTGGCTTACCAATTAAGCCTTTTATCTTTGGGTCAGGGAGGGAGGACATGGTCAAATGTGGGCTTACAGGTGCTCAGCAGAGCTGTAGTGGGCAAGAAGGACGCAGGTTTTGGGTGGGAGAGACAGTGGCTTGACTGGGGGTGGTTTGGGGCTAGAAGAAGGGAGGATGGTGTTGGGACAATTTTGAAGGTAGGGAGGGATGTGTGGGGTCATTGAGGCAGGGTCGTGGGTCATGTGGTCAGCTTGGGCTGACTGGCTCTAGCCGCCATGAGTGATCCTGGCCTAGAACAGAGGTTGAGCTGCAACTGTGCTAGTGGACGAGGCATCCCCTCTGGGGCCCCCCGTTTTCCCATTTGCAGTGGGAAGGGTTCAGAAGAAATGGTCTAAGAGCCCTGGCCTGCTCTGGTGTTTTCAGGGTTGGGCATGTTGATGTCCTTGCTGGTTTGTGGAGAGGAGAGGTATAGACAGAGGTAGGTGAGCAGGGAGGCTGCCAGCGGCAGAGGGTGGAGAGGTCGCCAAAGGTAACTGACAGGCAAAAAGTCACAGCGGTGTGGGCCTGCACCTTGGTGGCCCCAGCCCCTCTCTGAATTGCCTGGGCCTTGGCTCTGTGATAAAATGTACAAGGAAGGTGTCCAACCACAGGGTGGAGGGCTGCTCTGTCTAGGTTTTTTGGGGGCCTGGCCCAGTCTGCTGGGGTCAGGCCCCTTCCCTGGAGCCCATTCAGCCCTGGCCCTGTGGTCTGGGGCCCACAAGTGGCAAAAAAAATTAGCCGTCCATGCAAAAGTAGTTGTGGAGGTCCTTGATTTGAGGCCCGTGGCACCTGGGGAGCAGTCTCAGGGTGTCGTCTGTGGTGTGTCCCTTGCCCCTACATGTTCAGTATAGTCCCTGCCCTTCCCCCCCACCCCTGGGAAAGAAAGTTGCTCTCTGGGCCATGCTGGTTAGGATGGGTGCTCCAGATGGGGCTGGTGTGGAAGGAGGAGCTCAGATCCAGGCCACCACCCACTCCATGCCTTGGGAGGGGCTTAGAGGTTAGAACAGATTAGGGCTAGTCCAGGGCTTACCTGTGTCCCTGGAGCAAAGAGACCAGCAGGGCCAGATGGGGAGCCTGGATGCAGGAGGAGGGTGGGGCAGCGGTATGGATGAGTCCTTCAGCATCATTGCCTGGGCCTGAGGCCTTAGCCCCAGGTCAGGGAGCTGTGGGTGCCTTGAATGAAGGGCACTGTGGTAGCACGGACCACAACCTGTCCCTGGATAGGCTTGGCCTGACTCCTGTCCTGGAGTTCTCCTGGACCTCACGCCTGTAGAACTAGTTTCTGTCCACAAGCTCCACCCAGGGCAATGTGACCCCTGCCCATCTGTGCTGCAGGCCCCACCCCCGGTGCTAGGCTGGGTCCTTCACAGCTTCTCTTGCTGGGCCCTGGGTGCCCCAGGCCCTCCCACATCCCTGCGGTCTGCCGGGAGGAAGCGGCCCCCTTCCCCCACCGTGACTTTGCGCTTCCTGCCCCGGGGGCCAGGGTGGGAGGGGACGTTTCCCGTTCACACCAAAGTTTCCCTGGCTGGTGGCGCCCAAACTCGGGCTCAGCCCGCTGTCCCTCTTACCCATGGAACCAGCTCTGGGGCCTGGGGTCCAGGTAACCAGCCAGGGTGTGGGCGGAGGTTCCCAAGGTGAGGCAGGGCATTTTGCCTGTACAGGTAGGGGGGGTGTGTGTGCGTGGGTCTGCCTGGTCGATAGTGCACATGCAGCCTGGGATATACAGTCAAGGAAGGTTTCCTGGAGGTGGTGGCTGCTGAGTTGGGAGAAGGTGGCAGGCGAGAGCCCAGCTCATAGCTTTGGGTTCAGGGAGGCTGGTGAGTGGGAGACCTTTACCCATAGCACCCCTGTGGGCCACAGCCGTGCCCTAGGAACGTATACACTTAAGTCCCTCCCCTGCCTGTGTCAGGCTTGCCTGGGTCCCCAAGGGTTCAGGAAGTGGGAGAGGAGACTGGGAGGCTGAGAAAAGCAGATGGGGGCCCTGAGAGAGTGGTCAATATGTAAGGCAGTCCTCTGATGCTGACCTTCTACTTCCTGTCCTCCTCCCCAACCCATCCCTACCTTTCTCCACCCCCACTGCTCTGCCTCCAATCCCTGTGTACCCCCATTCACTTTCTACCTCTGTCCACATCCCCTTGTCCCTCCCCTGTCCACTGGGCCCCTTCTGCCCCCACCACTGTTCCCCTGAACTCCTTTGCCTGCAGAAGGACCTGGGCTATCTGCAGCAGTGGCTGAAGGCCTTTGTGGGTACCTTCGAGAAGAGCATCTCACTCTCCTCTCTGGAGCCACGCAGGTGAGGCTGGAGCTACATGGAGGGCGGGAGGCTGAGGGATGCTCGGCGCCTAGTGACCCCGCTCCCTGCAGGCCGGAGGAGGCAGGTGCAGAGGTGCCGCTGCTCCCTCGGGATGCGCTGCACGTGCTGGCCGAGCGGCTGGACGAGGGGGACCTGGAGCAAGCCCTGCTGCTGCTCAAGCTCTTCGTCATCCTCTGCAGGTGGGTCCCTGTTGTCTTCTCCACGGTGAGAGAATGTGCAATTATGGGCCGGGGTGGGGGCTGGCTTGTCACCGGGACCTCTCCCGTCATTCACTTCCCAGGAACCCGGAGAATGTAGAGGCAGGCTGGGGCCAGGTGCTGGTGCCCCGGGTGCTGGCGTTGCTGACCTGCTTGGTGGCCAAGGTGAGGTGGCCTCTACCCTGGGGGTTGGCAGGTGGTAGCCACGGCCCAGCTAACCCCCTTTCACCCTCTCTGCATGTCTACAGCTGAAAGGACCCCCACCACCGGAGAAGGGCCATGGGTCCCAGCTGGAAAACGTAGCCCTGCATGCCCTGCTCCTCTGTGAGGGCCTCTTCGACCCCTACCAGACCTGGCGGCGCCAGCACAGTGGGTGAGAGGCAGCCCGCAGGTGGAGGACCTAGAGGAGGCCCGGGACAGGATGGGGGTGGCCGCACTGGCCAAGGTGCAGAGGTGGGAGGGGCCGGTGTGCAGGCTGCTGAGGGGGAGGATGACGCAGGAGGAGTGAAGTACTGGCCTCACCTCGGCCCCTGCCCACCCTGTCCCCACCTGCCAGGGAAGTCATCAGCTCCAAGGAGAAGAGCAAGTACAAGTTCCCTCCTGCGGCTTTGCCCTGTGGATTCAGCACCTTCTTCCGAGGTCAGGCCCCACCCCCGGCCCGCCTGGCCCCACCCCCAAACATGAGCCCCCTCCTTTGCTTCCCCATTGCATATGCAGGATAGGACCCACTTGTGGCTGTACTCAGGGCTGGAAGAACCATGGGAATTTGAGTGGGCTTCCAAAGGCAAGTAGGAGTTCAGGGGCAGAGAGGAGAGGAAGGGCATGTCTGCACAAAATGAGTAATTTCTTTTTGCGGGGGAGTCGATTTCCCTTCCCCCTTCTCTTCTGTCTCTTGGGACCCCCCATTGCTTGTACCCCACTCTGATCTGGACCATCTTAAAACTCCCTGGTCCAATCTCTTTGTCCCTGTAGCTCTACCCAGTCTCCTCTCTTCCACAGGACAGTGTCTACATTAGGTGTCTCCCCTTCCTGCTCCCATACTCCCGGGGAAGCTGACCCCCCAGAACATCTCTGGCCACCTATTCTCCCTGGGTACCTTCTGCTCCTGAGTGTCCCCTCTCCTCTCATTGGAAGACACTGGCCAGGATTTCAGATGGGCTCCTGGCAGGATGCTGTCTGGACAGGGGCAGGCCAGGTTTGGGAAGGTGGTGGCCTAGGAAATACCTCAGTGTTTCTGGGATGCACCAGGGAGCTGCGGGCCTGGGTTTGGAACGGGGGCAACAGCTCCAAGTGGGGAGATGCCCCTGGGAAGTCCCTGCCTCTGTTCTCCCACAGCCTGAGTACTCTTCTTAAAACACACTGGATTTTGTTTCCCCTACTGTAAATTCCTCAGTGGGGACCTGACACCCTCAGAATCCAATCGTCTCCACAGCCTTCCTTTCCAGCCCCGCTGGCTCTCTGCTCTCCGCTCTCCAGCCATGGTCCTGTCCTCTCATTCCTAGAATCCAACTATCCCACCTTTGGTCTTTGCCCATACTGTTTCCTTTTCCTTTCCAGGCCAACTGCATTATCAGGCCTCACCTTGAAAGCCCTGTCCCCTGGGAGGACCCCCACCCCATCCCACTGGTATCAAGGCAGCTCTGCATTCCCCCCTTCAACGCACACACACTCATGTGACCCAGGGCTGGTCCTTTCTGCTCTCTGGGTTTCAGTTCGTGTCCTGGCATCCTGTCCAGCTTTACTGGAGCAGGGCCAGGTGGGCCTCCCAGATATGACGCTGTGAAAGCCCCTAGAAGTCCCCAGTGGGGGTGTAGGGGGATGGTGTGTGGAGCATCTGTATGGTAGGTACGGCAGGGTCCCCAGAGCCGGTCACGGGATGCTCCAGCCATCACAGGGCAGAGGGACCAGGAGACTTGTATCTAAGAAACTAAACCCTGGGTTGCCATGGGGAAGTGCATGGGGGGTGCTCACCCTGGGGTCCTCATTTTGGGGCTTAAGGTTCCAGGGAGCTGGCTAGGCTCTCAGGGCAGGGCCATGCCCCCTACAAGCTCCCCAACGAAGGGCTGTGTCCTCAGACCTCCTAGCATAGAATCATGACATTTTAGACTCCCAGCACAGAACCCGGTCTTCTCCCTCAGATTGGGCCTCCCAGCCCTGTTCCTTGACCCAGCCCCCCACTCCCACCCCAGGGCACCCACCTCTTGTGTGGTCCCCTGGACCCACAGCCCTGCAAGCTTTGTGACATTGTCTTGCTCCCCACCCCCATCAGAGAGCCTGCAGGATGCAGATCACTTGCCGCCTGTGCTCCTGCTGCGTCTCATCCATCTCTTTGGTGCTGTCCTTGCAGGAGGGAAGGTAGGCCTGGAGGAGCCTGGGGGCCCGAGGGTGGCTGTCTCAGAGTCTCTCTGCTGGGTGAGCCCTTTGCCCATTGCCCGTCTCTGCCCACACCTGCAGGAGAACGGGCAGAAGGCTGTGAGCGCTGGCACTGTTCAGGGCCTGCTGGATGTGGTGCGGGGCTGGGGCCACGGGCCAGCCCAGGACCCCCGCCTAGTGCCGCTGGCACTGGAGGCACTGGTGGGTGCGGTACATGTCCTGCACGCCAGCCGCACACCCCCCCGGGGGCCAGAGCTCCGAGCCCTGCTTGAGGGCTACTTCCGTGTCCTTAATGCCGACTGGCCAGCCGGGCCAAGCCTGGACCCCGAAGAGGCCCTCATCGCCCTACGGGTCAGCATGCTCGGTGGGTATAGCCTCTTGGGCTCTTGGGGGGGGTGGCACTAGCAGGGGAATGCCCAAGTTATGATGGAAAGGCTGGCCTGGGCAGTATGGGAAGAAGGTTTAAGGCTGACCAGAGGCGCTGCTGAGACAGGCTTGGGCAGGGCTGACCCTTGACCTCTCCACAGATGCCATCCCCATGATGCTGGCATGTGAGGACCGGCCAGTGCTGCAGGCCACCTTCCTCAGCAACAATTGCTTTGAACACCTTATTCGCCTCATCCAGAACAGCAAGGTGGGCGGGGCCCAGGCTGGGGCTGGGGGCACCACGTGTGGATGCCGAGCTGCTGATGAGCAAACTTGGGCTGGTGGGATGGCTTGCACTTCAGTGGGAGGGCCTGGGGCTCAGGATGGCTCTGGACCCCACATGAAGAGGGTGTTGTAGAAGGACGGGAGCTGCCCTGGCCCCTTGTTTCCCTTTTCCCCAACCCCAAACGTAGGGGCAGGAGGAAGGCTCAGCTGTTTCGGATGCAGTGCCTATCCCTGCCCACTTATCTGCCCCCGGCTCTGTCCCTCTGGGCAGGGTATGGGTGGCTCGGCTCCCCTACCCTTCCCTAGTGCCTGGTGGGGCGCTCGGCCTGGGGCTCAGGGCGCATCCTTCCCTATGGGGCGGAGCCCTGGCAACTGCCCCAGGTCCTGCTCTAATCCCACCCTTCCCTCATCTTCTCTCTCCTCTGCCTCCTCTACCTTGTGCCTCCCCCCCCTCCCCACCGACAGCTGTACTTGCAGGCCCGGGCGCCCCCTGAGGGGGACAGTGACCTGGCTACCTGGTTACTGACCGAGCCCGATGTCCAGAAGGTACCACCCTGGGGCTGACCAGCTCAGGCACCCACATCCCTGGGCACCCACCCCCCCGGGGCTCCCTCTTTGAGCCTTTCTGCACTATGCAGGGGGAACGATGCCAGTCCTGGTATAGCCTAGTGATGGGGCTGGGTCCCCCATGCTGTCTCACCTACCTTCCAAATCCCAGTCCTAGGAAATGGCACAGTTGTGATCTGTTCCCTGCCTTGTATTAGTCTTGGGAGCTGGGGTTTGGCCATGCCAACCTAGAAGGAACCTTCGATACTCAACCACCCCACCCCCATTGCACAGAAGGGGAAACAAGAGGCCAGATACTCAGGGATTTGGCTGTGGTCACTCAGAGAAGGAGGTCCCCCACGTGGGGCCACTTCTTTGCTTGGATCCTTGCACCTGCCCTAAGCGGGTCACTGGGAGTTCCCTATCCCCTCATGCCCTCATGACGTGCTCCCTGCCTCACCTTGCATGGGGGCTGTAGGAGGCTGCGGGGTGTCAGGGGCTTTGCATGGGGCATCCTCTCTCTGGTGGCTCAACACCTGGGCCCCCACCTCCAGAGCCCCGCCCTGGCTTTGTCCTCATGAAGCAGCCCTGTGTGTCTATTGCACTTGGCTGTTTTCTGAGAACCTGCATGTCCATTCATCTACAAAGCAGGCAAGGCCAGTGAGACCCCTGCTTTTTACAGATGAGGAAACTGAGGCCTGGAGGAGGGAAAAGATCGCCGGAGGTCCCTTAGGGAGTCAGGCAGAGCTGGGACCAAGGGCCCCATGGAGCCAAAATACAGCCTGGCACCTGCTGACAAACTCTCCAAGCCCTCCTGACTTCTCAGCCCCTCAGCAGGGCAGGGTGAAGGAGTAGCTGCCTCTGGCTGTTGGGTGCAGCCAGGGCGAGCCTCAGCAGCCCCATCTGGATCTAGGGGAAAGGGGCAGGGTAGGACCTAAAGGTCTCGAAGGTTCTTCTGGTTCTAACATCCTGTGATTGATTGTCCCTAAATTCCCCAACCCCCTGTCAATCATCGTGGGTGATGGGACACTTGCCAGCCTGCCTGCACATGTGTTTAGCTTGGGTGGCGATGGGCGGAGACCGGGGCCCATAAACCCACCGGACAGTGGAGGGCAGAGGGCTGTGGCCAAAGGGTTCACTGGTGATCTGTCCCAGTATCCCAGTGAGGCCCTTCCCAGCCTTGGTTTCTTCCCTGGCTTCTCTGTCAGAGTGGGCCTTGCCAAGCTGCTTGGCAGCCTGGGCAAGGGTAGAGGGCCTGGTGGCTTCTGTTCTAGCACTGTATGGCCCAGACAGGGCTTCCACACTCCCAGGGCCCCAAGCCAGCTCAGCTACTTGCCTTGGGGCATCTGTTCCTGTCCCTGCACCACTTTTATTGCAGGGTGCCGCCAGCTGCGACGTCCTGGCACCTGCCTCTCCTGACTGTCCCTCCCCACCCCAAGGTACTGGACCAGGACACAGACGCCATTGCAGTCCACGTAGTCAGAGTGTTGACCTGCATCATGAGCGGCTCCCCCTCCGCCAAGGTGAGGATGCTGCGGTCCTGCTGTAGTAGGGGTGTGGGATGGGAGTTCAGTTGATCAGCTGTCTCTAGAACAGGCCTGGCTGATGGCTGTCAGAGCAAGTGAGCTGGGGAGGTGACCATCCTGCCCTCTGGGGTACGGCTCAGGCCCCTGGGCGAGCGTGGTCATTAGTGAGTCCTGGGAGCTGGCTATCCTGGCTCAGAGCTGGAGGGCGGAAGGATGCTTGTGGCTGACCCCCATCTGCAGCCTTCCGAGGTAGACCTATTCCCCTGCTAGCACTGTGACCCAGAGGCAGAGCCAGGCAAGGGGGCTCTGAAAGCTGATGCCTCCTCCAGGGTTCCTGTAGGGTGTGAGTGCGCCCTGGGGCCCACATACACACTCACTCCTTTCCCACACGTCCCTGCACAGGAGGTGTTTAAGGAGCGCATCGGCTACCCTCACCTGCAAGAGGTTCTGCAGAGTCACGGTCCCCCCACCCATCGACTGTTGCAAGAGCTGCTCAACATGGTGAGGGCAAGGGCTTGGGGGCAGGGTCCCAAGGGCAGCCAGGAGTGAGTCAGGGCTACCACGGAAGGTGAGCTCTCCACCTTAGGGGACCATGTTGACTATGTGTGACCTGGGGCCTGACCCTGTGTGTCAGGGTCACTGGGGTGAGGATTCTGAGCTGCATGGGGCTACCAACAGAAGCTGCTACATGTTAGCAAGCCCCAGGATGATCCTAGGAACAGGCAGTTGGGGTTTAGGCCAACCTAGACTGAAAGCCAAGGGTTGTTGTTGGTAGCAATGGTTGTCTGAGCACCTCTGGCTTTCCTGAGCCTCAGACACAACCTGTGAGCTGGATGGGGTAGCACACGTTGTGTTCCCATGCTGGAGGCAAGTAAACTGAGACAGGAAGTCCCACTGTTGGTAGGGTGGCCTGTTCCATGCCAGTTGCCCGGGAACTATCATTCTCTCCACCCGCAGGCTGTGGAGGGCAACCACAGCACGTGTCCGCCACCACCAATCCGCAATGAGCAGCCGGTGCTGGTGCTAATGCGGTGGCTGCCAGCACTGCCCACAGCTGAGCTGCGGCTCTTCCTAGCACAGCGCCTCTGGTGGCTCTGTGACAGCTGCCCTGCCAGCCGTGCCACGTGTGTCCAGGCCGGTCTGGTGGGCTGCCTGTTGGAGACACTCAGCGAGGGGGCAGCCCTGGGGGCCCGCTGCCAGGAGCAGCTGCTGGCGCTGCTGCAAGCATTGGGCCACGTGTCACTAAGGCCCTTGGAGCTGCGTCGCCTGCTTCGTCCCCCAGCAGGTCTGGACTCAGGGCCGGGTGGAGCTGAGGCCGGGGCTGCCCGACACGCAGGTGCCACCATCCGCGCGCTCTCAGGCATGGCCCGGCGCCAGGGCCCGGCACGAGCCCTGTGCTACTTTGACCTCACGCCCAGCATGGCGGGTATCATGGTACCCCCTGTGCAGCGATGGCCAGGACCTGGCTTCACCTTCCATGCCTGGCTGTGTCTGCACCCCACGGCTGTAACACCTGCTCCGGGCCCCACCCGGCCGCTCCAGCGAAAGCAACTGTACAGGTGGGTGACTGCTAGGGACCAGGGCACGGTGCCAGGGTGAGCAGGAGAACCAGCGGGCATAACTGGTTTGGCCTGCCCCCAGCTTCTTCACCAGCAGCGGCTCAGGGTTTGAAGCCTTCTTCATGGCGGCTGGGACCCTGGTGGTGGCCGTGTGCACCCGGAAGGAGTACTTGACCATGAGCTTGCCTGAAGTGTCCTTTGCCGACTCTGCCTGGGTGAGCCTCCGTCCTCATGTGGCCCAGGGAGGTGGAGGGGACACCACGTCCCAACCTGTGACCTGATGTTGTGGCTTCTGTTCTAGCACTGTGTGGCCATTGTCCATGTGCCCGGGCGCCGGCCCTTCAGCCAGAACCTGGTGCATGTCTACAAAGACGGCCATCTGGTGAAGACGGCACCCCTTCGCTGCCCCTCCCTTAGTGAGGTGTGCCAGGCAGGGTTTAGGGAGGCTTGGGCAGCTGGGGGCACTTGGACAGGGTGGGACCTGGAGCCCCGTGTTCCCCCTCCCCCACCCCACAGGCCTCAGCCTCTGGGGCCTGTGCAGCCTTGGGGGTCGCCGAGGAACTGGATGCAGGTGGAACCCCAGGCTCTGCTGTGACCTGACCACTCCCCCAACCCTGGCCCCACAGCCTTTCTCCTCCTGCTGTATCGGCTCTGCTGGGCACCGCACAACGACCACCACCACGGGCCTACCTGCGCCACCTGTCCCCGCTGCCCTGGCTCACACTCACCCCTCCCTCACCCGCTCCCAGTCAGTCCCGGCCACCACAGGGCTTGGCTGGGGGTCCGGGCTGGTGGCCCCTCTGCAGGAGGGCAGCATCAGCTCCACCCTCGCAGGCACACAGGACACTCGGTGGGGCAGCCCCACATCCCTGGAGGGCGAGCTGGGGGCTGTGGCCATCTTCCATGAAGCCCTGCAGGCGGCAGCCCTGCGGGTCCTGTGCACCCTGGGTATGGAGCGCCGTCCCCGTGCCCTGCCCCAGCCCCTACTGCTTTGCCCCAGGACCCAACTGGTTGGGTCTCAACAAGTGCCCAGGCCAGAAACGAGGGGTCTGGCGGGGGGAAGGTGTCCCTGGGAGGGGCGGGGTCTGTCCTCTTATCAGGCGGAGAAGAGGCAGGCTGTGTGTGGGGTTTGGCCAGAAGCCCAGCCAGGTCTGAAGCCCCCCTGCCCACCCCCCAGGGCCCAATGAGACAGCACCCTTCAAGCCCGAGGGTGAACTGCATGAACTTGGCACCAAGCTGCTCCTCCATTACTCACCTCAGGTACTGCGGAGGTGGGCAGTTGGCTTAATCCCGCTCCCTCCCCCTGCCTCCCACCCTCTGTCTCCCACCACCTCCTCCACTGAGCCTTGCTGCCTGCTCACCCCCTGTCCGCAGGCCTGTAAGAACAACATCTGCCTGGACCTGTCCCCTGGTCACGGGCTGGATGGCCGCCTGACAGGCCACAGGGTGGAGACCTGGGACGTGAAGGTGTGTGCTCACGTGAGCAGTGTGTGCAGGAAGCATGAGCATGGGCACATGTGTACAGGGCGGGCTGGGGAGTGGCACTGTGCCCTGGGAGGTCTTGAGGAGACCCAGATTTCCAGGCTGGAGGGTCTGCTGGGATGGAGTGGAGCAGAAAATGGCTGGGTGCTGCCCTCTCATGGGGGCCCCCACCCGCAGGATGTGGTGAATTGCGTGGGAGGCATGGGTGCCCTGCTGCCCCTGCTGGAACGAGTGGCTACACAGCCCCAAGAAGCCGAGGCAGGTCCAGCAGAAACACATGACCTTGTGGGGCCCGAACTGACCTCTGGCCACAACGCCACCCAGGGACTGCTTCTCCCACTGGGCAGGTCCTCAGGTAAGTGTCCCTGCTGCCTGAACTGGGGGGAGGAGATCTTGGCATGGTTGGGGGACTGGACTGCTTGAGGTCTCTGTGGCCACTGGCAGGCCTTTGAGGTACATCTGTTCCCTTCCTGGTGGCGGTAGAGGAGCGAATGGAGAGGAATGCAGTGGCTGCCTTTCTGCTGATGCTGCGGAACTTCCTACAGGGCCATGCTGTGAACCAGGAGAGCCTGGTGCAGTGCCAGGGGCCTGCCATCATTGGGGCCCTCCTGCGCAAGGTGGGGCCTGCTGGGGCAGGCGGGGAGGGGACTGCCCTGTCTGACTAAGGGGACTGATTGGAGGGACCAAGAAGGGGAGCCTGATGGCATCAGTCAGGGAGGGCCTCCTGGGAGAGGTGGCATTTGAGCAGGGCCTTGAAAGGCTGGGCAGGGTTTGGCTAAGAGGGTCTGGGGGGAGTAGCAGAACCGCAGGGCACCTGCACAGCAGTCTGGGAGCTTGCACTTCAGAGACAGCAGGGAGCCACTGAAGCGTTCTGAGCAGGCAGAATGCTTGTGTCCATCTGCCTGTGCAGGGCAGGGTGGAAATTGGGAGGCCTGAGAGTGGGCGGGCAGGGCCTGATATCTCACCCCAGCTCCTCTGTCCTCCCCCAGGTCCCCAGCTGGGCCATGGACATGAATGTGCTCATGTCTGCCCAGCTTCTGATGGAGCAGGTGGCAGCCGAGGGCGGTGGGCCCCTCCTGTACCTGCTCTACCAGCATTTGCTCTTCAACTTTCACCTCTGGACCCTTAGTGACTTTGCTGTGCGCCTGGGTAGGTGTGGGGACTTGGGGATGTTGGTGGAGGTTCTGAGAAGCTATAACCCTGTGGGTGATCTGAGGGGACATATCTGCCCTGAGGCGTCTGAGGGGACCATGACCCTCTCCTGGTGGGGGGTGGAGGTGGGCAGGGAGGTCTGGCAGGGGCATGGCCCCTGTCTTGGAGGATGGAAGGGACCCGGCTCAGTCAGGTAGCCTGAGCCCTCTGCCGATTCCCACTTAGGCCACATCCAGTACGTGTCTAGCATAGTCCGTGAGCATAGACAAAAGCTGCGGAAGAAGTATGGGGTCCAGTTCATCCTCGATGCTCTGCGCGCTCACTACAGGTGAGGCTGGTGGGGGCAGATGGGGTGGGGTGCTGACACTGCAGCTTCTGGCCTTGGGGGCAGGTCTGTTCAGTCCCCCAGCTCACCTGCCCACTTGCCCTGTTCTCCCCTCCATGCCCCTGTGTTCTCCTGGCCCTGGGTGCATGTTTCTGCTGGGACCTGCCCAGCCTACAGCGGGAGCACCCCCTAGCGGCTGATGACCTGCGCACAGTGCAGACTTCACTCCTGGGCCTGGCGCGGGAGTTTCTGGTCCGGAGCTCTTCCGCTGATGACCTGCAGGTGGTGCTGAACTTTCTGGCAGCTGCGGGTGATGATGGCCAGGTAAGCTGGAGGTTGGCGAGGGTGAGACTAGGGGGAGGGGTGGAGTGTGGACCACGTTCAGGGTTGGGGGTGGCCGGCTCAGTGTGAGACTTTGTATCCCCAGGTGCTGGGTGCGCTGGACCTGCTGCTGGCACTGCTGCAGGGCTCGCCAGCACAGGAGTCTTTGGCTGTCTTCCTGCTGGAGCCAGGGAACCTTGAGGTGCTGCTGGCACTGCTGGTGCGGCCAAGGCCCATGCCCTTGCTGCCCGACCGAGTCTGCAAGGTACACTCAGCTCACTCCTGACCCTGGCATCCTAATTCACGGGGGCCCCCGCCTGAGTCCAGAGAGGTGCAGAAGGCCTTAGGCTGGTGGGTGAAGCTGCCTTTGCGGGCCTCTCTTGGAGCCACACGCCTGCGTGGTGACTCACCCTCCTCCAGTAACTCTTTCCCCATGATGACGACCCCTACACAGATCCTGCGCAGACTGCAGCAGAATGAGCGCTTACCTGAGCGCAGCCGCCAGCGGCTCCGGCTGCGAGAGTGTGGCCTCCAGGGTCTCGTTGCCTGCCTGCCGGAGGGGGCTGTTTCCCCCCAGCTCTGCCAGGGCCTCTTCAAGCTGTTCCTGGGGGCAGGTACAACCTGTTTGGGGCCAAGAGGCAGGCCAAGTAGAGGGGTGATGTGGATCCAGGAACCAGGGCAGGTGGGAATAGGGAAGGTGTTGGGACCAAGGGACCAAGGCTGAGCCAGCAGAGGAGCACAGTCCCTCTCTGGGGTCAGTCCCTCAGGCCTTTTCTGGCCGTTTTCCCAGATTGCCTGAACCTCTCAGATCTATTGGCTGTGGTGCAGCTGTCCCTGCAGGCTGACCTCAGCATCCGCCTAGACATCTGTCGTCAGGTGAGTGGGAAGTGAAAGCTTTGTTGGGGGTTGGGGGGCGGCTTCTACCCTGCGGCCTTTGCCTGTGACGAGGGGTCTCTGGAGGCCTCCCATGCAAAGGCCCCAGGAGGAGGGGCTGGGGCAGGCTGTCGGATGAGTCCCTCACTTGCTGTGCCCTGGCCCGGCAGCTCTTCCACCTCATCTACGGACAGCCAGACGTAGTGCGGCTGCTGGCCCGACAGGCCGGCTGGCAGGATGTGCTGACCCGGCTGTTTGTCCTGGAAGCCGTCACAGCTGGCAGTCCCCTGCCCTTTACCCCCGAGCCACCCACCTCCCCGGAGCCAGCCTTACACAAGCCACCCACTGAGTCACCTGAGCCTTCGGACGTCTTCCTGCCCGCGGAGGTCCCCTGCCCTGACCCTGACGCCTTTTACCAGGCTCTTTCCCCATTCTCCACACCCTTTGAGCTGGGCCCGGAACGGGCCAGTGTGAGTTCAGGCAATACTGCTGGCGGTGGCAGTGGCAGTGGGACTCTCACTCCAGCCAGCCAGCCTGGCACCCCTTCCCCGCTGGATGGGCCCCGGTCCTTCCCTATTGCCCAGGGCCGCCACAGCTCCAGTCTCTCCAATGTGCTGGAGGATGGCAGCCTGCCAGAGCCCACCATCAGTGGGGATGACACCTCTAATACAAGCAACCCTCAGGTGAGGCGGGCCCACCCTCTACCACCGTGCGGCACCAAGGGAGGGCACCTCTGGGACACGGGGCAGGCAGCGTAGCTTTTCCACAGGTGTTGCCCTATTTGACATCAGGGCTACAACTGCTATTCGGGTCTGGCGCTGCCGCCTCGTAGCTTTTATCTGCAGTGTTCCCTGGGGGGTGGGGAGTATTCTGGAACAGGGCAAGTCATGCTGAGACAGAGTTGGGGGCACTAACCAGGCTTCAGAAGGCCCTAGAGAGCCTGTGAGGCAGGGACTTCACAGGGCCCGTGGGCAGTATTGCTGTAAGGGTCCTGCCTGTGCTTCTGGATCCGGGGATGGGCGTCTGCTTATTCCATGGCATTCTTCCAGAGAATTCTAGGACAGTCCTTGAGGCCTGTGAGGACTGTGAGGTAACCGTGTGAACTACCTCATCTCCTCTTAGGAGTCCTGGAATCCCAGGATCCTCCCTGGAACTCGGGCAGTGGCTGAGGCCCACACCATCTGTTTAGGCCTTTAGCACCAGACTGGCTCGGCTGTTGGCCAAAGGCTCGGCTTCCTGCTGTCCCTACTAGTGGGTGGGCGGACGTGCTGAACAGGGATGGTAGTGGGGCAGTGATTGCCTCCCTCCCCAGCCTGCACCCCACACACCCCCTGTGTCCGCAGCAAACCTGTGAGGAGGAGCTTTGTAACCTGCTCACCAACGTGCTGTTCTCGGTGACTTGGCGGGGAGTGGATGGCAGTGACGAGGCTGCCTGGCGGGAGCGCGGCCAGGTCTTCTCCGTGCTCACCCAGCTGGGGGCCTCGGCCACGCTTGTGCGCCCACCAGACTGCATCAAGCGCAGGTGAGGGGGTGACTCAGGAGGGGGAAGAGCCTCGGGGAAACCTGGGGCCAAGAAGGCGGTCAGGTAGACACCTGAGTCCCTCGCCCCTCTCCAGCCTCCTGGAGATGATGCTGGAGTCAGCCCTGACCGACATCAAAGAGGCCCCCCTTGGGGTCCTAGCCAGCCTCACCCAGCAGGCGCTCTGGCTGCTGCGCCTGCTGCAGGACTTCCTGTGTGCCGAGGGCCACGGTAACCAGGAGCTGTGGAGTGAGAAGGTATGATAGCTCAGAGGGGCACGTGCTCAATGTTCTCGTGCACCTGAGGGCATCTGGTCTGGGAGGTGGATGAGTACACGTGTGCCGTCATGGGTTCATCAGCTCCGGTATCTGTGAGCGTAGGTTTATCTGTATGTACAAACCCTCCCTGGCCTCCAGCCCAAACCTCACCTTGCTCTTGCCCCATGGGCTGTTGGCCTCCTCTGGTGATGGCCGCCTGGGATATATGGTGTGTGGCAGCTCTTTGAAGGTGTGTGCAGCCTGCTTGATCGCCTGGGGGCCTGGCTGCACCTGGCCGATGGCACAGCAGATCTCCGAGAGATGGCACAGATTGGCCTGCGCCTCGTGCTTGGCTACATTCTGCTGGAGGACCCACAGGTGAGCACAGGGTGGGTGTGAGGGGAGGGTGTGTGGTGGGTATAGGGAACTCCGGGAGTAGCTGGTGACACCTCCACCCCTTCGGTCCACAGCTGCACGCCCAGGCCTATGTAAAGCTGCACGCACTGCTGCAGACTGCAGTGCCCATGCGCCGGGAGGAGGCTTGTTATGTGCTCTCCAAGCTGGAGGCGGCGCTGGCACGGGCGCTGAACACCCCAGCCTCAGAGACCCCCACCGGGGACGGGGAGCCCCCAGCTGCAGCCGCTGCTGCAGAGCGCTGCTCATGGCTGGTACCGCTGGTGCGCACACTGCTGAACCGTGCCTACGGGCCCCTGGGGCTGCAGTGGGGGCTGCCTTCCCTGCCTCCCACCAACGGCAGCCCCACCTTCTTCGAGGACTTCCAGGCCTTTTGTGCCACCCCCGAATGGCGTCACTTCATCGACAAGCAGGTGCCTGGAGCTGGGGGCACGGGCAGAGAAGTGCGAGCTGGGGACCCACATCGAGCACCGGTCTCCTGTCCCTGTCCCATCCTCCAGGTGCAGCCCACCATGTCGCAGTTCGAAATGGACACCTACGCTAAGAGCCACGACCTCATGTCAGGCTTCTGGAATGCCTGCTACGACATGCTCATGAGCAGTGGGCAGCGGCGCCAGCGGGAGCGGGCACGCGGTCGTCGGGCCTTCCAGGTGTGCGACCCGAGGCGGGGGGCGGGGAGCTGCTCCACACGTGGGCCCAGAGGACGGCTGATGGGACGGAGTGGAGAAACAGGGACAGCACATGAAGCAGCCAGCGGGACTCACCCGTTCCTCCACCCTACCCACCCCCCCACTCCTCAGGAGCTGGTGCTGGAACCTGCACAGCGGCGGGCACGCTTGGAGGGGCTGCGGTACACAGCGGCCCTGAAGCAGCAGGCAGCGCAGCATTCGACCGCCCTGCTGCACTGGGGGGCGCTGTGGCGTCAGCTCTCTAGCCCCTGTGGGGCCTGGGCCCTGAGGTGGGCGGGGTTCTGGGTGGAGTCCGGGTGGGGTGGGACTTGGGAGGGAGGAGCCGGGAGGGTACCTTTGGGGAGGAACCTGGGAGGAACCCAGAGGTCTATAGCCTTCTGCCCGTGACCATCACTGGGGACGTATCTGTAGGGACCCGCCCACCCCCCGCTGGAAGCTCTCCAGTGCCGAGACATACTCGCGCATGCGTCTGAAGCTGGTGCCCAACCATCACTTCAACCCTCACCTGGAAGCCAGTGCCCTACGCGACAACCTGGGTGAGAGGGTGTGCTGAGCTGGGTCCACCCAACCTCGTACGCCCTGTCTTGTCTCTGGCTGAGCACCCTTGGGCCCATTGCAGGTGAGGCCCCCCTGACACCCGCAGAGGAGGCCTCCCTGCCTCTAGCAGTGACCAAAGAGGCCAAAGTCAGCAGCCTACCCGAGGAGCTGCAGGAAGACCAGCTGGGTGAGGATGAGCTGGCTGCGCTGGAGACCGCGTGAGTGGGGCTGGGAAAGAGCTGATTGATGGGGGCAACGGGTCTGCTCCAGTGTGTGCTGGCCGGTGGTGGAATTGACTCCGGAGTCTGTTTCCCCTCTCGCTGAAAGGGATGGTCCAAAATCAGGTGGGAGTATTGGGCACAGCTATAACAGAATGGATAGTTGCTCTTTCATGGCTCGGCATCCCAGAGCAGGACTGAGAAACACAGACCAGACTAGGATGGGGGCCCTGGGAGCAGGCAGGGGCTGAGTGAGGGAAGCCGGGGATGGGGGTTGGTGTCCTGGCAAGACATTCAGAGGCCCAGGTTTCGGGGCGGGGACTGTGGTCAGTCTGGACCCTGGGCAGCTCCTCCTCCTCTGGGAGTCATGAGCTGTGCACCTCATGACTTGGTGGTGCTCTGAGAGCGTGGTCCGTGGGCTTGTCAGAAAGGGGACCCCAGAGTCTGGAGCCTAAAGTGGGTGCCGGCCCCCAGGTTGGAGGCCGCAGAGCTGGACGAGCAGCATGAGAAGCTGGTGCTGTCAGCTGAGTGCCAGCTGGTCACAGTGGTGGCTGTGGTCCCAGGGCTGCTGGAGGTCACTACCCAGCACGTGTATTTCTACGACGGCAGCGCTGAGCGTGTGGAAACCGAGGAGGGTGTGTTCTGATGGAACGGGACGGAGGGACGGCAGGGATGGCTGGGGTACGGTGGGGCCGGGGCGAGTGACTTCTGCACTCGCTGTCCGTCCCCACAGGCATCGGCCATGACTTCCGGCGCCCACTGGCCCAGCTCCGCGAGGTCCACCTGCGGCGTTTCAACCTGCGCCGTTCGGCGCTTGAGCTCTTCTTCATTGATCAGGCCAACTACTTCCTCAACTTCCCCTGCAAGATGGGTGGGGCCACGGCCTCATCTCCATGCCAGGCCCCCAGGCCCCAACCCTGCCCCATCCCACCCCACACCCAGGTGCGGAACCAGGTGTACTCGTGGCTCCTGCGCCTGCGACCCCCCACCCAAGGCTACCTGAGCAGCCGCTCCCCCCAGGAGATGCTGCGCGCCTCAGGCCTTACCCAGGTGAGAGCCCTGGAGTGTGAGGATCGGGTGAGGTCAGGGCCCGGCGGTTGGGAAGAGGGCTGGCAGCCCAGCTGGCTCACCTCTTGCCCCTGCCCCCCAGAAATGGGTACAGCGTGAGATCTCCAACTTCGAGTACCTGATGCAACTCAACACCATTGCGGGGCGGACCTACAATGACTTGTCTCAGTACCCTGTGGTGAGGGCCTGCTCCCCACCTCCCCCACTCCTCTGGTCTGCCAGCCCTGGTTCACCCAAGTGTGGGTACTGCTGCTTGGTCAGGACCGAGCCCTGAGCTTGGTCCTGGGCGGGTGCTGTCTGAGGCCTGGCCTCTGTTCTCCCCGAAGGGAGTCCTGTCCCAGACAGTCCCTCCTGCTCCCCTGCAGCCCCTCCACGTGGTGCATCCCCACCTGTGGGCTCCGCCCGTCTTCTTGAGGGTGAGGGTGAGGGCAGGGCAGGTAGGCCATCAGGACCCTCATGCAGCTCCTGCCCGGGTGGGCGGCCAGTTCCCCTGGGTCCTACAGGACTATGTGTCCCCAACGTTGGACCTCAGCAACCCAGTCGTCTTCCGGGACCTGTCCAAGCCCATCGGTGTGGTGAATCCCAAGCATGCCCAGCTTGTGAGAGAGAAGTGAGTGCCTGAGTGAGGCTGGGCTTGGGGGTTGGGATGGACAAGAGGAGGGCTTCTGCTGACTCCCCCCAACTGTTGCTCTAGGTACGAGAGCTTCGAGGACCCAGCGGGCACCATTGACAGATTCCACTATGGCACCCACTATTCCAACGCAGCAGGTGTGATGCACTACCTCATCCGCGTGGAACCCTTCACCTCCCTGCACGTCCAGCTGCAGAGTGGCCGGTGCGGAGGGGCAGGCAGATGGTGCAGGGCAGGGCAGGGTGGATGAAGGGAAGAGGCAGGTCTTCCAGGCACCCTGGACCCTCTGGCTCTCGGCTTTCCTGCGGCCACACCTTCTCCCCCACTGTCTCCCTTCTCTCCACCTCACTTTGGCCCGTGCCCCTCCCTAGCTTTGACTGCTCTGACCGGCAGTTCCACTCGGTGGCAGCAGCCTGGCAGGCCCGCCTGGAGAGCCCAGCCGATGTGAAGGAGCTCATCCCAGAGTTCTTCTACTTCCCTGATTTCCTGGAGAACCAGAACGGTAGGAGCTGGCGTTGGGGCAGGAGGTGTGGGGATGGAGAGCTCGGGTTGGGGGCGGTGGCCAGGGAGCAGGTGAAGGTGGCGTAGAGAGACAGCTGACCCAGTCTTCTGTGCCAGGCTTTGACCTGGGCTGCCTGCAGCTGACCAACGAGAAGGTAGGCGACGTGGTGCTGCCCCCGTGGGCCAGCTCTCCTGAGGACTTCATCCAGCAGCACCGCCGGGCTCTGGTGAGATGAGCACACGCAGACAGGCGGGCAGCCGGGGTTGGTGGGGGAGTCAGCCGTTCCTGGACTGACTGCCTCCTCCCCGCCCCCAGGAGTCAGAATATGTGTCCGCCCACCTCCACGAGTGGATCGACCTCATCTTTGGCTACAAGCAGCGGGGGCCAGCTGCAGAGGAGGCCCTCAACGTCTTCTATTACTGCACCTATGAGGGTGAGCAGTGTCCTTGACTCAAGTGGGAGCTGGGGCACAGAGGAGGGGTGAATGCGGTGGGCACAGAGGGAGTCCTGACTGCCCTGCCCTTCCTGTCTGATGCTCAGGGGCCGTGGACCTGGACCAAGTGGCAGATGAGCGGGAACGGAAGGCTCTGGAGGGCATTATCAGCAACTTCGGGCAGACACCCTGTCAGCTGCTGAAGGTAAGGCCAGCTTGGAAGACAGTGGTCAGGGATGCCCTGGCCACGGTGCTGATCGGCCACTTGCCCACAGGAGCCACATCCAGCTCGGCTTTCAGCTGAGGAAGCAGCCCAACGCCTTGCACGTCTGGATACTAACTCACCTAGCATGTTCCAGCACCTGGACCAGCTCAAGGCCTTCTTCGCAGAGGTGAGAGGAGGCAGGGTCTCGACTTCTTACTTTGTGAAATTCGTTGAATCCCACTGTCCTTACCAGCCTCTTGGGGCAGATGGAAAACCTAAATCAAGGTGACTGATGCTAAGACATCTTAGAAAAAGAGGTAAACATCAGAGGAGATGGGAGTGCGGGTGGGATGCCTTCTTCGTGAGGAAGAGTCAGGACAAGGTGTTGACTCACCTGACCATCCTTAGGGTGACCAGAAGGAGGGAGTCCGGCCTTAGATACTCTACCTCACCTTCCTGTCTGCATCCCAGAATGCCCCCAAGTCTGACGTGTTTAGGCTCTTCTCTCCTCCTGCTAGCAGGCTCAGAGCCGTGGAGTAATGGGTTGGGATGACCACAGCTGAAACCAAGCTTGACACCCTGGAAGGATCTTCCTTGTCCATCTGGTTTCTCACCCACTTTCTGAGACGCCCTGAAGGCACACTGGTCTCTGATGCCTATTCCTCTGAGAGACCTCTGTCTGTATGATGCCTAGCCTGTGACCCCTGGGGGCTGAGGGCCAGGGACTGAGTCGTGTTCCAGGGAGCCGGTAGTGTAGTGAGAGCCCTAGCTGGCTGCTCAGGCACAGCTAGCCTTGCTCCGCTCCCTGCAGGTCATCAGTGATGGCGTGCCCCTAGTGCTGGCCCTGGTTCCCCACCGGCAGCCCCATTCCTTCATTACCCAGGGCTCTGCAGACCTTTTGGTAAGTGCACTGGGCCGGGCCCCATCTCAGCTCCAACCCCTTTCTGACTCTGCCCCAAACCCACCTCTGTCCCCTCTTGCCCGCAGGTGACTGTGAGTGCCAATGGGCTACTGGGCACCCACAGCTGGTTGCCCTATGACCGTAATATAAGCAATTACTTCAGCTTCAGCAAAGACCCCACCGTGGGCAACCCCAAGTAAGACAGAGGGCTGTGGGCAGGGGTGGGCTCTAAATACCCTGCACCCCAAGTCATCTCCCCACCCAAACAGAATGCAGGCCAGCTGCAGGCTCTGGCCAAGATTTCTGAGGGCCTGGGTTCTCCTTTGTGGCCTGACCTCACCTGTGGTCCTCCTCACTGGGTCAGGATGCAGCGACTGCTGAGTGGCCCTTGGGTGCCAGGTGGTGGTGTGAGTGGGCAGGCCCTGGCAGCAGCCCCAGACGGAAAGCTGGTGTTCAGTGGCGGCCATTGGGATGGCAGCCTGCGGGTGACGTCACTACCCCGGGGCAAGCTGTTGAAGCAGCTCAGCTGCCACCTCGGTATGTGCAGTCTTGGACTCGGGGTGTGCAGGTGGGAGTAGGGTTCCAAGGCTGGCCAGGGAGGGGGTAACCACTTTGTTCTGCTGGTACCCTCCCCTCCCCTCTCCATTCAGATGTAGTAACCTGCCTTTCACTGGACACCTGTGGCATCTACCTCATCTCAGGCTCCCGGGACACCACATGCATGGTGTGGCGGCTCCTGCAGCAGGTATGCTGGGTGGCAGCCCTCCGGGGCCCCCATAGTCCAGATCTGCAGTCCGTCTGCCCCTCAGTGGGCCTCTCCAGTCCTACCCTGTTCTCTTCTCCTTCCCTCTGCTACCATGAGCAAGTCTGGGGCTCCACAGCCCTCCAGCTCTCCAGCTTTGGACAAGACCTTCAGTTTTCTGAGCTTTAGCCTTCTCACTCACTCAGGGGCCAAGGTAGTGGGAGGCCCCAGTCCTGAGCCAGCTCTGGTGTTCCCCACAGGGTGGTCTCTCGGTGGGGCTGGCATCAAAGCCTGTGCAGGTCCTATACGGGCATGAGGCTGCAGTGAGCTGTGTGGCCATCAGCACTGAACTTGACATGGCGGTGTCTGGATCCGAGGTGTGTGTATGCCTGTGTCCAGGGGAGGCTGTTTGCTGGGCACTGCCCCTGGAGCTCACACACCCCTGCCTAGCACCCTAAGCTGCCTTCCTGCAGGATGGAACTGTGATCATCCACACTGTACGCCGTGGCCAGTTTGTGGCCGCACTAAGGCACCCAGAAGCCACGTTGCCTGGACCTGTGTCCTACCTGGCGCTGGGGTCTGAGGGCCAGATCCTGGTGCAGAGCTCAGCGCGGGAGCGGCCGGGGGCCCAGGTACGGGAAAGGGGCGCCCAGCCAAGATAGGGGTGGTTGGGATTCTGTCCTTGCTGACACCTCCTGCTTCCTCCAGGTCACCTACTCCTTGCACCTGTACTCGGTGAACGGGAGGTTGCGGGCTTCACTGCCCTTGGTAGAGCAGCCCACAGCCCTCGCGGTGACGGAGGACTTTGTTCTGCTGGGCACAGCCCAGTGTGCCCTGCACATCCTCCATTTGAACAAGTGAGCCCCACTGTTTATGGGTTTGTGATACTTCAGGGTGGTGGTCATTGGCAGAGGACACTAGGAGGTGCCCCCGTGGACCCACATCCCCTTTACATGTCTGTGGACACATTCTTCAAGGCCTGTCACCTGTCCTCCCATCCCCCAATGGGGTGCTCTTGCCCTGGGCCTCCTTTAGCCACACACTTGTGGGAGGTCCCTTTCTGTGTCAGGATTTTAATCGAGTCATCCTTCAAATGAGGACTGGGAGGTAGATGGGAGAATGGAGAGACATCTATCTGCTGGATCAAAGCTTCCTTGTAGTTGCGAGTTCGTATATATATATCCCCCCTCCCTCCCTCCAGACTGCTGCCGGCCGCGCCTCCCCTGCCCATGAAGGTGCCCATCCGCAGTGTGGCTGTGACCAAGGAGCGCAGCCACGTGCTCGTGGGCTTGGAAGACGGCAAGCTTATCGTGGTGGGCGCAGGGCAGCCCTCTGAGGTGAGGATGAGGGCCGGGAGGGCCTCGAACGGGATGGGGAAGCGACGGTCCTGGCTGACCCCAGCCTGCTCCTGCTCCTGCCAGGTGCGCAGCAGCCAGTTAGCGCGGAAGCTGTGGCGATCCTCCCGGCGCATCTCCCAGGTGTCCTCTGGGGAGACAGAGTACAACCCTGGAGAGGCGCGCTGACAGCCTGCCCTGCCCTGCCCTGCCCCGCCGCGCAGCTCCGCCCCCAGCGGGCTTCGCCCTGGGAGGGCCCCGCCCAGGAGTCCAAGGAGAGGGTGACATCCAGCCCACACTCTGGCAGGGGGTGGGCGGGGCCCCACCTCTGCCCAGCTCAGGGATTGGTGGGCGATATCACTCCTGGAAGTCCCGCCCCTCGCCGGCAGAGGGGCCTCCCGGAGTCCCAGCGCTGGCCTCAGCAGCCGCACAGCACTTTTTGCACAGCCTGGGGTGGGGAGCCCAGGTTCCCAAGCCCCGTCCCGGCAGAGTACAGGGGCCGGGCCGTGGCCTTAATCCTAAGGGCGGTCCCCCGCTCTCGCATCTCCGCAATAAACCTGGACTAGTTTTGTAGCTGTTCCGCCTCCAAGCATATGTGCACGCGCGGCGTCTCAACCCGCCCTGGCCACAGCCCCGGCCTAGCGTCCTCCTGGTCCATGAGCACCTGCGGCGACCCGTCCCCTCCCCAACCACACCGCCCTAGTCCCTAGGGGCCCCGGCTGCAGTTTCTCCGGCAGCTGCACGCTCAGTCCCCCTCCGGGCTCACCTCCAGGCCTGTGTGCGTTCCGGGGCCGGGCGGGGCAAGACCGTGGGCGGCCCCGCCCACTCGGTGTCCAGTCCTCCTCCTGTCTGCGCCGCCGCTTTAGTCTCGGGCGGGTAAGAACCTGGTATCCCCAGGGACTCCACTCTGTCTTACCGGCCGGCCCAAGGCCCGGAGGCCCCGTCCCGCCCGGCTGAGCAGATCCTGGGACCCGCGGAGGGTCGGCCCCCACAGGTCAGGAGCGGGTTGGGGACAGAGCTTCGGGTCTTTCTGGACGGAGGGAGCCAAGGCTGCCTCTCTGCCCCCCATTTCCAGACCCGAAATCCTGTGCGGTTGGATTGCCTGTGGGAAGTCGGGGTAGTGTGTGCGTGTGTGCATATTCTGTGGGCCTCGAGATGGGTGTGTGTGGGAGTTGGTAGAGGCTCCAGTCCCACAGCTCGGGGTGGGTCGGGCACAAGGCTTGGCTGTCTCTGCGACCGTTAGTCACAAGCTCACCCGCCAACCCGGATCCAGAAAGGGCCCCTTATGTGGTAAGTGACACAAATGTACATACACATCCTTCAGGTGGCAAGGGTCACCACAGCCTCAGTGCCAGGCCCACTTGCCGACTGTGTGCTTTACCATACACATGGGCCTCTGGCCTTGTGGAGGGAAGTGAGTTTGGAGTGCCTGGGTTGGACCAGGTCGGATGTGGATGTGGGGGGAAGTGAGTTTGGAGAGCCTGGGTTGGACCAGGTCGGATGTGGATGTGGGGGAATTGGAGGACCTTCCCCCAGGTCTCATCTCTATCCCTTTTCCAGGCAAAGTCCCCTCCTCTGCCCAGACCAGGGTCTCTTCCCCAGGCCTCAGGAGGTGGGTCTCAGCAGGATCAGCCTTGTAAGTACAGATGGGTCCTGGATTGAGTGTTCTTCAGGTTTCTGGCCTCCAGGCCCTCTCCAAATTCCCAGATGAGAAAGGACCAGGGGGAGCCTCTGGGCCCACATGCCATCTGCCCTTGCTGAACCCACCAAGGAACCCTCCTGTCCAGCCCCTGAGCAGGAGGTGAGGGCTGGACACTGACCCTAGAGGCAGGAGGGGGAGCTTAGTCACTCCAGGGACTATGCTGTTGCTGACAACTCTGGAAAGCCTCCTACCAGCTAGTAAGTCTCTACCTGGCTCTGGCTTAGATGGGGATGGGAGTCTCCCTGTGCTATCCCTGGACTCAGACCAGGGGTTTGCCATGGTCTTTGAGACAGGGTGGTTTCCAGTGTGCCCTTTTCCATCCAGAGCTGCAATATGGTCTCCTCCAGCTTTGGCCAGCTGGGGCCAGCAATATCACTTCCACCCCATTTGACACTGGAGGAAACTGGTCCAGATTGGTGACTGGGGAGATTGGGGGGTAGGTACCCAGTCCTGGAATGAATCAGGATGAAGTGAGCCAGGAAAGTGGGACAGACTACCCCGAGGGACTCCTGACTTCAGGCTTGAGGGATTTCCCCCATGTCCCTATACACAGCCCCTTCTGGACTCAGAAAAGTCTCCCAGCTCCTTTTTCTGAGTGCTGCCCATGACATTCCAACCCCTTCTCTAAGATGCAGCCACTGGGAGCACTGCTAGCTGGCAGAACCATGCTTCACAACTCCAGCCACAGGGAAGGCACGGTGCATGTGGGTTAAGTACTTCTTGATCCAGATTTTGGGCACTGAGAGGGTAGGATGACAGGTACCCATGGGCCCCTGGCCTTGCAGGCCATACACAAGTCCAGTCACAGGCTTTGGAGTCCCTGTTTCTTGTGCCCTGCCTGCACTGGATTGTGGGGACAACTGGCCTGCAGGCAGAAGTTAGCAGCAGCATTTACTTGCCTTTCGGATCAGTTTTATTTTGCAAAAATCTACAAGGTCTCCTCTGCAAAGAGGCTCCCACAGGGACCAAAATGAATCAGTGTGCTCTCACAGTCCAGAGTTGGTGGGGGAGAGAGGACACAGTTTAGTGCCATAGTAGGCAGAGGAGATGCACCAGGAGCCAGAAAAGGGAGCCTGGGAGAGATCAGGAAAGACTTCCCAGAGTAGATTTCCTGCCAGTTTGTCAGATGGCAAAGGTAGACTAGCAAGAGCAGACGTCTGGAAGCCCGGAGAAGGTACATCTGGGAAGGGCTAGGTGTCCAAGCGTGGCGAGCCAAGGGGAGGCTGTGGGAGATGAGGGTGGGGAACGAACCAGTCAGCTTTTGACGCCACGGTATGAACTTTTGACTCTACACAGTAGGGACTATGATTTCCAGTCTTTCTAGCAGCAAAGTCTACGTCTGCTGCCTCCTTGCCCCTGACCTTGTCTGTCCTTTCCTCCACAGATAAGTCCCAGAGGGAGCAGGACAGGGACAGGGAAGGGGTGTGGGCAGGGGCAGGGGGAGCCCTGGCCCCCGGTACCTCCTGCTCATTCCCCCCTGAGCCTCCAGGGGCCTCAGGCAGCAATATCCCTGTCTACTGTGCCCTCCTGGCCTCTGTGGCCCTCAGTCTGCTTGCCTACGTGGCCTTCAAGTGGTAGGTGGTCTGGGCATCGCCCTCTGGTAACCTCCCTCCCCATCTGGGCTCCCAACCAGCTCCCTGTCTGTCTCAGTGAAGGCTGGAGCAGGTTGGCAGGTTCCCCCTGCTCCCCACAGCTGGTGCTCACATAAACAAAGACAGCAGCTGGCCAAAGCTCGGACTGCAGAGCTGGGGGCCTTCAACAGGGACCAGATGCTTGGGGAGAGCAGTGTCTTCTGGGACTCTCCTAGCAGCCTGGAGCCCTGTGTCCCCAGCCAGGGTGAGCCCCTTTCCCCAAACTGTAGTCCTTCACACCTACCTAGCTCTGCCCCACCACAAAGCCTGCCTAACCCTCATGTGTCCCTCATGTCTCCCATCCCAGGGCTACATCCTGAACTTGGCTGCCGGCTTTACCTCCATCTCCCTTGGCAGCAGCAGGAGGAAGTGGAACAGCTCCTGGAGCTCCCTCGGCAGCAGTAGGAGGAAGTGGAACAGCTCCTGGAGGCGTCGGGTGAACCTGACAAAGGCTGGCGGGGCCTGGCGGGCCACCTGGGCTACCAGGCTGAGGCAGTGGAGACCATGGCTCAGAGCCAGGTGCCAGCCTACACCCTGCTGAGGTACTGGGCTGTCCAAGAAGGCAGTGGTGCCACCCTCAGGGTGCTAGCAGATGCGCTGGCTGTCCTGGGCTGTGAAGATGTGGTCTGGGCCCTGGGCCCACTGGCTGAGGACTGCTCCGTGGTGTGACGCTCCACAGCCTGGCCTCTCAGGGAACCTGCTCTGGTGCTCCCACCACCCCCAGCTCATACACCTTCCCTTTCACGGGCTTCCTGGCATTGGTGACCTCGGCCTGCTGTTCTGGGGGGACACGGAAGATCCAGGCACCACTCACCTCCCCTCGCCCTACATTCCTTCAGGACAGGGACCAGGATATTGGGGGGAGGGGTTGATAGTGAGGAGCAGTCCTGCTCTCCTGATCCCCACTCCACCCCCTCTTACTTAGCCTCAACTGTTTTTTCTACTTTTGTATCCCATATTAAAGGCAACTTTGGACTACTGGCCTGGCTCTGTCTGGTTCCGTGGGCCTGTGAGACAGTTGGATAGCTATGTGGCAGAGGCCCAGAAAAAGGATGGGATCCCTAGAAGGTGGGAAAAGCCCCTGAGTTGGCAGGCAGTGTGTTCCCGCAGATGTGTGAGCTCTGCGGGCAGAGTGTATGTAGTTCACATCCTGCATCTGCCATTCACTGGCTGAATTGTGTTAGGAAGCATTTTACCTTTTTGAACTTCAGCTTCCTTAGCTGGAGAACAATAAATAGACTGGCACATTCAGAAGCCTCCCACCAAGACTCTCAGGCCTTGGGTTTGAGACCATTTTCCTGACTTGTGCTGTGACTAGCCTCAAGGGCTGGAAGCCTGCCCCACCCCTAGGCAGAAAGCAAGAGGCAGTTCCGAGGCAAAGTGAACTGCCTCTGAACTGGTCCTGGGAAGCTAGTTACCAAGGGCCTCAGGTCATCTCCAGGTGAGGAAAAGGAAGAAAGTGTTCTTTCAAGACCCATACTCCAGACTCGAAGAGGGAGGTCCAAACATGCTTCCACACAAGCCAAGCACAGGTAGGTCATCCCACCTACCTGAGGGGCTGCTGAGGACAGGGCAGCTGCAGCCAGACCACCTGCACCCCTCACATATGCCCACCCTGAATGGAGGAGCAGGCAGGTCAGTTACTGTGCCTTTGGAGGGGGTTGCTAAAGCAGACAGGCCCCACCTAGGAAGAAACAATGGCTGCCATCCTGGTGTCCATCAGGATCAGGGCACTTAAGAAGCACAGTCACCTAAACTCAGGAGACTTGGGTCCAGTCATGAGCCAGAGGCCCGGGCTAGAGCCTGTCCCCTAGCTGAGATGTGACCTGCATTAGCTGTTCTGTGAGTACCAAACTCATCAGACTGCTGCTATTCCTATGCCTCAGAGTTTACCAGGGCTGCTTAACCCTGTAAATCTTATACTTAAAATCAGGGCAGGTTTGGAGCCACCATCATCCGGAGATGAAAGGAGGAAAAGCTTGGTGTTTGGTCAGCCATAAACAGGCCAAAGCACTGGAGACATCACACCTACTTTGGCAGGGAGGTGGCCAGAGGGCTATCAAGGGTTAGATCGGCAATGAGGGTGAAATCCTGCATTGAGAGGAATGAACAGGTCCTGGATTAGCCAGTAACTCTCTTCACCACTGAGGGGATTTGAGCCTAAAGGTTTCAAGGGGTGTGTGTTTCAAGATCTTCCCCTCCCAAACTCCAGAGGAGGTAAAATAACTGAGAATTCCTCTGCAAAGAGGTCCTTTCTGAAACTTGACAGCTCTCTGGTCACCACCCTTTAATGAAAGGCTACCTAGATTTCCTTGGAAAATCTGAAACCTGGACCCTCAGGTAAAACTATGAGTTTGACTTGGTTGCCAGCAGCAGTGCATGTGGCTGCACCTCTGCATGGGAGACCTACCCAAAAGAGAAACACTTTCTTTTAATGTGCTCAAGCACATTAGTTGAAACATTTTCTTTACTGTTAAGGGTTGGGGGGGGGGCGGGGGACTTCCCTGGTGGCGCAGTGGTTAAGAATCCGCCTGCCAATGCAGGGGACACAGGTTCGAGCCCTGGTCCGGGAAGATCCCACATGCCGCAGAGCAACTAAGCCCGTGCGCCACAACTCCTGAGCCTGTGCTCTAGAGCCACAACTACTGAGCCTGCACGCCTAGAGCCCGTGCTCTGCAACAAGAGAAGCCACCATAGTGAGAAGCCCACTCACTGTAACAAAGTAGTCCCTGCTCGCCACTAGAGAAAGCCCGTGCGCAGCAACAAAGACCCAACACAGCCTAAAAATAAAAATACGTGCTATCAACATTTCAAATGTTTAAAAATAAATAAAATAAAATGTTAAGGGGGTTAAATTAGGGTCCCTCCATTTGATATAATAATGTGCTTGAGTTAAACAGTTTAAGGCTGCAGTACCATGGGAAAATACTTTGGCTACATTGTTAAATAGCATGTCTAATGATATGTCTTTAAAATAGGTGTTTTTCTCCTCTTTTCACAATTTCTTAGTACAAGGATATGAGATGAGTTACTGAGCCTCTCTGAACCTTAGTCTCCTTATCCGAACAGTGCCAATTCCTGTGCCTCCAGGTTGTGAGGATCAAAGGAGCACAACTTGAGCTCTAAGTGCCCAGCAGGCAGTGACTGTTCCAACTGCTGCCCACCCCATCCAATATCTGGCGGGTCACAGCCTCTTCCCCAAGGGCATTGCTGCAATGAGCAAAATCACCCCGGTGAGGAAGAGATGGTACCAGTCTCTGCAAAGATGGGCTGGGCCCCAGGCTGGCCTGAAACCTTTGGCCCTTCTCACTGCCCAGACAACTGGTCCATCAAGGATGGGGTGTGTCTCCACTGAGCTGTGTCCTCCAGAAGATGTCTGTTCTCATTACTTGAGCACTGTACCCCTTTATCGGGGTACTCCCTCTAGGATCCAAGCCCAGTGTCAGAAGGCATGGTGGGGAGTCAGGGAACCCAAACATCAAATGAGCATTCCTGTGGGCTCTGGGAACTCAAGTCTCTGGAGGGAAGAGGTTCATTCCCTTTCACCAGCCAAAAGGTACAAAGGGGAAGACAAGTGCCTTTCTCTTGACTGGCTTATTACCCAAAGTAAAGAAGCCCAGCGCCAGAGAGGTCGCAGGTCCACTTCCTTTGCTCAGGAATGCGTGTGTAAGATGCCTACCTCAGTCACAGTGGGACCTGTGGGGAAGACCTGGGATAAACTCCAATCTCAAGAATTAATTTTGGACTTCACACACCTATGGCCACCACCTCTTTTCTCTCTCAGTGCCAACACTATATACAAACATGCTTGACTAGCTTTTAGGGAACACACCTGCCAAGTTCTTTAACTGATTTTATTTTTTACATAAAAAGTTCAGTAAAAATTGGATAAAGTAAAGTGATTTTAAGCAGTAAATCAATCTTATCAACATAGCACAAGGCTGGCCGAAACCGCAAGGCAGCCTGCTCTGGAATATTTACATGATAACAAATTAAACCTTGCAGGAGAACTTAAACCATCCTTACAAAGTCTTCTGTGATCCTAGCACGCAGAGGCTTAAAAGCAAAACAAAAACCAAAAACCAGGAAAAAACAAATTATTTTCAATATATTCACATATACATTAAAATATAATACAGATCGTCAGGGTAAGGGGTTGTGGGTGGGGATGCGCATGAGTCTGTGCGCTGACAGCACCGCCAAGGAGGAGACCCAGGCTTGAGAGTGGGCTCAGGCCTGGCCAGGGTCTCAGAAGGGAAGGTCTCAAGGGCCTAAACCCTTGCCTCAGATGGCCTCTACCAACAGCTCACAACCAGGAACCGCTTATTGTAGATGGAGCTCATTTTTGTGGCTTTCAGTTGAAATCTGCAGGTTTGAATTCCCCAGGGTGATGTGTCATCAGTAGCACAGCCCTGACAGTGGGGTGGGGAGAGAGGGCCCACGGGATTTCTTCTCCCCAGAGTCTCTCCTACCAGCTTGCCCGTCCTCCCACCCTGGCCCTGCAGCTCACTCTAATTCAGTGTCCTCTTTGGGTTTGTAAACAGCCCCAAACTTCTGCATGTACTTCTTAATGTACTCCTTGGTTTTGTGTTTCACATTCTCATTGCACTCCAGGTCCTCGGGGTTCTTACAGTACTTCAGCTCCTTATTCATAACGCCGTGAGTCAGCTGTCCAGGACACAGGAAGAGAGATCACAGCCACCAATCAGAGTGGAAATGATTTGAGGGGGGAAGGCCAGTCTGCTGCCTCGGGCCCCTTCTCACAAAGACTGGGAGGTGAACTGGAGGGGGAGGTTGGGGCAGGCTGGTGCTGGGATCACCAGAAAGGGGAAGCTCAGCTCTCAGAGAACCGCTACCATCAAGTAGGGTACCCTCTCTTCCCAAACCTTCCCCCTCTGTTCCTGGGTCTCCAGCCTGGGCATGTGTCAAGGAAAACTCACTTTTTATGATGAAAGGGGCCTTCTAGGAAGGTATAGTTTTCCCAGAACATTGTCAGACCACAAGCAGGGGGGAATACCTTGCGAGCTAGGTGTTTGAAATCTTCAGTTGTGGTAATTCTTCCCACTTTGCAGTCAGGTTTCCGGTAAGGGTTCAGGCACTGGACGATGAACTGGGACATCTACAGGTATGGGGAGAAGAGCACACTGCTCAATAGTCCAGAGAAGGCAAGAAAGTTGTACTGAGGAAATACTTAGAATAGGCAGTAAGCCGAGCCAGCCAATCCTTCCCTTTCCCTCACTCACACTAGCTGTTGTGGACAGAAGAATGCCAGTATGCCAGTGGGGTATAAGAGAAAAGAATCCTGGATCAGCCTCAAGAGGGAAAGGGCTCCCTTGGATGGACTTAGCAAGCCTCACTTGCAGATGGAGGGACAGAGCAGCAGGACTCCACGCTGAATCTCATGGCAGCCCCAGATTTCAGCTAACAAATCTCATGTTCTTGGCATAAAGAGACTGTAGCTAAATTCTCTGGCCCCTGGAGGCAGGGCAGAGAGGGCCTTTCTGTGCTACCAGGAGGCTCAGTGACTCCAGGAAATGCAGGCATTTTGTTACTGAAGGCTACTTAGATTCTGTAAGAGTTGCACTTCATTTGATTCATACTACATCAATGTGAAGCAGAGGGACACATGATATGGCAGCTGGTTGGAGAACATCTGGGGTAAGACCCTTTTCAATACACAAATTCCCATGTCCTCCTGAGCTATCTCTGTAGTGTCTGTCCTACCCAGTGGCTCTCAAAAGAGATCCAGGCACAGGATTTCTGGAAGTATTTGTGGCGCTAAGCCACAAAGTTGACCCCAGGGGAAAAAGGGAGCGAGGAGGTGAGTGATAGCCACTCACCAGGGAGCACCATGAACAGGGTCTACCCATCCCTGAAAGTCAGTGAGTCTTCAGACATTCAAAGAACAAGGCTGTATCACAAGGTAGGCACTAAATAAACAGCTGCTAGTTGGCTGGGCTGAAATGCCAATAATCACAAAGGGACAGTGAGAAACTTAAGTTTTAACTCTAGAGAAGGCTTTTACTCAAAATTTTTCTGTGGTCTCCTGTTTCCATACTCTCTCCCCTCAATCCACTTCCCCAAATAAAATAGGGGATTTCATTATTCCCAGCTTAAAATCCTGCAATACTCCCTGCAACTCACAGTACCAAGCAGCACAATACTGTGCAGCCTCATCTTCCAACACCCCTCACATACCGGGTGCTACAGCCCACAGATTCCCTGAAAGGGATGACGCCTTCTTCTGCCTCTGTACACTCTACTGCCTGAATTACAACCCTCCTGATCTATCTGGCTAATTCCTACCCCTGACTCAAGAGCCTTTCCTGACACCCAGAACAGAGACCTCCAAGCCCTATCATGGCACATTCCTCACACAGCTGCCATTACTTTTTTTTTTTTTTTTTTATTAATGCCATTACTTATTTACAGGTCTACCTCCTCCAACAGACTATGAGCCCCCTCGGTGAACAAAGACTGGAGTTTAGAATCTGGATGCCCTGAGGCAGAAAAGGTTAGTGTCCTGAGAGCTGTACTGCACTTCCAGCAGCATAAAGACAAGCTGCTTTCTCCCAATCACTTGAGGATTAGGCAGCCACCAAATGAGATATCACAGAAAAAGAAACGGACTTTGAGCCAGAGGCCCGAGTTCAAGTCTTCTGTCCAGAGCTTGCCTTCTCTAAACCTCAAGAGCTCCTCCACCAGCATAAGAGGAATTACAATTCCAGTCTTGCCTACCTCACGCGATGTTGTGGGGATAAAATGATATAATGGATATGAAAGTGCTTATTATCCCACTGTAAAGGACCATACCAATATGTCATCACATAACAACTACACAGTCCAATCACAGAAGCAAAGGAACACCCAAAGGCAGGGCCACCTAGTACTACAAACAGCTGTGCACACTTAGGATGAGAAAGAAAGGGTCTCAGTTTAAGCCTTCAGAATGTAGTGTCCACATCCCACCAAACCTTACCTCTTTTCTGAATACTTCTTTGCTTTTCTTAGCCAGCTCACTGGAGGTGTCTGCTTCTGCTGTCTTAGGCTTTTTAGAGGTCTAGAAATGGAAAACACCACAGTGTGGGAATGAGAGGTCAGGTCAGTGATGCCCTGCTCTTCGAGAACCTCCCTTCTTTCCCGCAGTTGGGATGCCTCACTCTTGGTATTAGAATCTTAAAGGGACATGGCCTGGAGTCAACTTAGCTGCTGTTACCACTCTCACTTCATGTTTAAATCTTGTCATCTGGCACTGGCCTCGCTCCTATAAACCAAGTTCTAATTCTCTACCCTAAGTGAAAGCTACATCCTTGATGTAGTTAAACATTTGTTTCAGGGTCACCTTCTCTGCAGAGAAATGTGCTGTGTGATTTGGACCACTCAGGTCCCTGTTCTGAGCGGCAGTATCCCACACTGTCAAGAGAGGCCCAGACTCAACGGGCTCCACCTCTCCTGTCTCTGACATTCTAGGACTCCTGGACAAAGGCAAAATGATTTAGCCACACAACCATGGTCCAAATACCATGCTCCTCATCCAAGTCCCCTAGACTGTAGGAGACAGTCTCAGCATGCAAGAGAGGCTCCTTAAAGGTTGGTATCCTCGGTTCAGGAATGGAAAGACTAAAGAGGTATCAAGGTGTTGCGGGGGAGGAGATGAGGGTCATGCAAGTCAGTGAACAGATGAGTAGATCCTAAGACAGAAGATACTCTGTCCCAAGATGCTAAGATGATGACAAACCTAGGAATGCTCCCTTCCAGCACTGCAAGGGGGAGGCTGCCAGTCCCCCTGCCCCATGCCCCCTGCCTGATTAGGCACTGCTGAGAGGTGAGAGGTCAGCAGCCCTGGCATTCAGAGCACCTGGCATGCAAGGCCACCTCCCCATACCTTTGCTCACCACCAGTCATCAAGCCCCTTCCTAGTAAATGTACTTCTCCATGGAAAAGATTATGAGCATTCCCCTTTGAATGCAACTCACTTCAGATGGATGTAGAAGCAATTGGCATTACAGGTACTTCATTTTTTTGCTAGCTGCTTAGAGCACAAAATTTTTTCAACCTACCCCCACTTCTGATTCCTCTCTTTCCAGAAACAGTATGAAGGTGCTGGTGATGAAGGGACTGTTCAACTCCCTCTGCTCTGGACTGGCTCCAGAGAAAGGTGGCACTCCCCTGGCTTCTGGGCTTCTATACATCAGCTTTCCCTGACTTGTTATAAAAGCTTTACATATTTTCTACTTTTCTACTTTCTTTCTGTGGCTGTGGCAGCAGGAAAGGGAGGGCAGGGTAGAAAGAACATACAGATTCTACCTCTGGTTTTAGGAAACAAAATGCAAATAACTGTTTTCAAATGTTTTGCTTTGAGATTTTGTGGTTATTTTTTCTAGCAGTAGAGAGTGTAGCTGTGCTTCACAGTAAGACCTCATGTAGCATGGGATCAAGAATTGCCTGAATAAGCCAAGGTAATTTCAACACACCCTCAGCTGCTGTCTTGTGGATCTCAGAAATGAGTAGCAGCAGCAATGAGTACAGAAAGCCCCTTAAGGTATAACAATGATCTCAAGGCTCTGGCTCCTATAGAGGAGGCCAGGCTCTCAGTGAGGGCACTGTGTAAACAGGAATGTTCTGCTTCCCTCTGAACGGGGTATGTGTTCAGAAAGCTAAATAATTCCAGTGCATTTCTAATTTAATCTCTGACTTGGTGAGGTTGTAGGGCTTTAAAAACACACAATCCCCTGAGCTCTCTCTAGGAGCTTTCCTGGTCCAGAAGAAGTTGAGGTATCAGAAACACTACACATGATTCAACCTAAATTCTGCAACACACGAACCTGGTACACACCAATTAAAAGGTTAAGAAAGAAAGATCCTTGAAAATAATAAAAACTCAGTATATTCTGTTTTGAAGTTGCCGCCACCTTTGCTAACAAAAAGAGCGAAATAATTTCAGTTTGGTTCTAGATCAGGCACTATATACCACACCTTAGTTTGTCAAATGAGGCATGGGAGAGGGGGTGCAGGAAGTGAGAGGACAGGAACAAATCATCTCTACGACACTTTCAAGAAACTGGCAGGCCATTCCTTGCCTCTTCCATATCCACTTGTTTGCTCAGCCCCAAATGATGCCTCTCAGATGCCTTTGCGTACATCTTCAACATCTCCATTCTTAGTTCCTCACTTTGCCTAAACTATTAAAATACTCTTCAATCTGATCTCCAATGCTACCAATCTCACCTTTTCAAATGGGCCTGTTTCACTCAAGGAACACATATTTGATTGCCTGTCTTGCTGCTTTAAAAGCATCCACTGGCTTTTAAGCATACAATAATCACATTGGTAGGACACCAAGATCTTAGACAATTTAAATCTGACCTACTTTTCCATATTTTTATCTTGCTCACTACCTACCCCATATGTATCTAAATTCTCACCATAACCAAATTATTTTTATTGTTCCCTATATAGGCTCTGTCTTGTACTGACTTTATACCTTTGCAAAAACGGCTTTATTTGCCCAGAATCCTCTTTTCTGCTCACCTTAGCTATAGGTAAAATCATGTTTTCTGTGACATATCACTAGTGCATTTTCTTAGACCATTAATCACTGTGCTCCCATAGCATTCTGTACATACTTCTACTACAGCAATTATCCCGTTGTGTTCTTGGTTTATAGATGTGGTTATTTCCTTAGATTGAACTTCATGAAGATTAGTACTCAGATTTATTTCTCTTTCTATCTGTAATACCTTACACAAGGCCTGTGAATTACTGAAAATTTACAATGTTACAGTCTTCATCTCCAAGGGCTTTAAAATCTAAATGAAGGCCCTAAAGATGGGAAAAAAAAAAATTGGAGCAGAAGGAATAAACACATAACCCACAGGCATCATTCTGTCTGAGATGCTAGCTAGGTGAATACAGTAGTAAACTGGTTAGGAAGGTTAGATCCAAATAAGTCCCTGGCTATCCACGTCACACTAGGTCCTAATGATAGAGACAACGGTCTAGAAAGAAATCCAAAGACTGACACCTCAAGCCTTTGACTTGTGCATCATGGCAAGGTTGGTTGGAATATCAAAACTCATTTGTTCCTTCATAAACTATCAAAGGGTTAATAACAAAACAGATGACTTCATTTATATTTTCTCATTAGAAATACAAGAAAAGGTAAAGCTGACAAGTCAGAGACAAAAGCCTAAGAAGCTAAGATAGAGAGTGAATGAACATCCAGATAGTTTTTTACTGGAAGCACATGACAGTTATGGGTTTTTTCCCCCTTAGGTACCTGTCTCTATAAAAACTCTCCCACAGAAACTTCATACACTGCCAGTAGAAATGTACAATGATATAGCAACTTTAGAAAACAGTTTGACAGTTTCTTAAAAAGTTAGACAGAGACAGTCTAACTTTGATCCAGCAATTCCACTCCTAGGCATCTACCCAAGAGAACTGAAAATGTATGTCCAAAGATTTGTTCACAATTGTTCATATACCATTATTCACAACAGCCAAAGAGTGGAAACAACTCAAATGTCCATCAACTGGTAAATGGATAAATAAAATGTGGCACATCTAATACAATGGGATATTATTCAATGCTAAAAAGAAACGAGCTACCAAGCCATGAAAAGGCATGCAAGAACCTTAAATGTATATTGCTAGGTGAATGAAGCAAATCTGAAAATGCTACATGTCCAAATATGTGACATTCTATAAAAGGCAAAACTGGAGAAAGTAAAAAGATCAGAGATTGTCAGGGATAGGGATGGGGATGGGGGGAGGCGGGGAGAGAGGATGAGATGAATAGGGGGAGCACAGAGATTTTCAATGCAGTGAAACTATTCTGTAGATGATAATGGTGGATACATGCCATTATACATTTGTCAAAACCCACAGAATGTACAATACCAAGAACACTAATGTGAACTACAGACTTTGAGTGATAATAATGTAGATTCACTGATTGCAATAAATGTATCATACTCCGGCAGGCTGTTGATAGTGGAGGACGCTATGCATGTGTGATGACAGGGGGTGTATGGAAACTGTACTTTCTGCTCAAATTTAAAGGGAACCTAAAACTGTCTGAAAATAAAATATATTAAGAAAAAGAGGTATATAAGGACCTTTTCAGACAAACAAAAATGAGACAGCTCATCACAATTAGACCTGAAATACTCAAAGTATTAAAGGAAATTCTTCAGACTGGGAATTCCCTGGTGGTCCAGCGGTTAAGAATCCGCCTTCCACTGAAGGAGACACAGGTTCGATCCCTGGTCAGGGAACTAAGATCCCACATGCCACGGGGCAACTAAGCCCGCAAACCACAACTACTGAGCCCACGTGCCATAACTAGAGAGAAGCCCGTGCACTGCAACGAAGAGCTCGCACGCCTTAACGGGAAGATTCCTACATGCCGCAACTAAGACCTGACGCAGCCAAATAAATTTTTTAAATAGTGGATAGAATTTATAAAAAAAAAAAAAAAGGGGGCTTCCCTGGTGGCGCAGTGGTTGAGAGTCCGCCTGCCGATGCAGGGGACGCAGGTTTGAGCCCTGGACTGGGAAGATCCCACATGCCGCGGAGCTGCTGGGCCCGTGAGCCATGGCCGCTGAGCCTGCGCATCCGGAGCCTGTGCTCCGCAATGGGAGGGGCCACAGCAGTGAGAGGCCCGCGTACCGCAAAAAAAAAACAAAGAAACAAAAAAAACAAACAAAAAAAACAAAGAAACAAAAAAAAAAAAAGGAAATTGTTCAGACTAAAGGAATGCTAAATATAATGCTGAAGAAAGAAAAACATTTCCCCCAAAGTGAATAAAATATAAAAGGAGGTATGGATTTGTTTCCACTTTCCCTCTCATTCCCATTCCTTCCTTCCCTCTTCCACCTCTTTCCACTGACTTAACTAGTTAAGTGTCTCTTATTTTCAAAATTAAATACTATTCAAATCTTAGAGCATAGATATATTGTCTTTGATTTCATTCAAGACACCACATCCTTGGAGACAGTGAGTCCTGTTCCAAGTGGAAAAGGATAAAAATTTTTAATTCAAGCATTGAGAGTCACACTGATTCACATGACCTCTAATCCCGATTACTCTCTTGTTAGAAGGAGAGACGAGGAATAAGCTCTCTTTCGCTTTACTCTAGAATAGTATTTCCAGAGTAAAATATCTCAGTTGCAAATCTTAAAAAAAGGGGGGGCCCAGTTATACTTTTTTGGTGAGGTGTTTTTTTTTTTTTTTTTTTGCGGTATGCGGGCCTCTCACTGCTGTGGCCTCTCCTGTTGTGGAACACAGGCTCCGGACGTGCAGGCTCAGCGGCCATGGCTCACGGGCCCAGTCGTTCCGCAGCATATGGGATCTTCCCAGACCGGGGCACGAACCCGTGTCCCCTGCATTGGCAGGCGGACTCTCAACCACTGCGCCACCAGGGAAGCCCCTTTGGTGAGGTTTTAATGCAACCAGTTTAACTTCTTTCCAGACCCACCAATCCCAAAATGGCAAGACATTAAAGCAAACGAAGAAAGACTGCCGTTAAACAGAAAAAACACACTTAAAAGAAACATAACATTAAGAAGAATGCTGTAATCTACAGGGAAAGAGCTAAGATTTATTAAAGGAAGTTATAATGGAATAAGAATACTATGATTCTATTTGTATGTTTAGAATGAAAAGAAAGAAAAACACCTGTGTGTGTTTTCCATAAAGGTCTGGAAGAACATACAACAAAGCAAGGTTTTGCAACTTTGGCACTACTGACATTTGGGCCAGTTCTTTGTTGTGGGGGATTATCCTGTGCACTCTAAGATGTTTAGTGGCTTCTCTGGCCTCTGTACACACTAGAAGCTAGTAGCATCTCCACAGCTGTAACAACCAAAAATGTCTCCAAATATTATCAAAAGTCTCCCGAGGAGCAAAACTGCTCTTGGTTGAGAACCTGTGCACTAAAAAGTTAACAGTATTTATCTCCGGAGAGGGAAGTATGATGAAAGGAGAGCAACTAAATAGAAATTAAGAGCTTTTATTTTTTGTTCTATATACTGTACTTCTGTATTGTTTGGACGTCCTACCACCCCCAAGCATTTTTTTATATGCATAATTCTCCAGAACAATAAGAAAAATAGAATTCCAAGATAACATGGCTACTGACTCTACAAAATGAGAAGACAAAGAATCCCAAATGATCAGGAAACATATCTGTAAGCCACACTCACCTTCATGGGATTTTCATCATATGTTGGGGTTCCCAGGTCCATCTCAGCTTCATGCTCAAGGCTGGCATCATCTCCTGGGCTTTCCCAAGTAGGAGGATCCCACTGAGTCTGCCTAGAAGAAGGTAAGAACAGCCATGCTGTCATGGCCAGAAAACAGAGAACTCTGGCATAGGTATCTCTGCTCATATATACATAACATACAACATGCAATGAAACAGAACAAGTCAGCTCCATAAGACAGAGACATTCTTCCCAGCAGCAATGATTCTATCCCATAGACATACATTGTTTTTAGCCCACTGTACTTCTGTAGCCAACGCTGTGGCAACATTTGCTGGGTATCAAAGACAACAGTAAAACCAAACATCTTTGTCTCTCACCTGACTATTAATGTCCTGAAAACAGGATTCAGCAAAGTCTAAGGAAAGTACATGGAGTAGGTGCCTGCCTATGCCACCCCTATGCAGGTGATCAATCATGATTGTACCTAGCATGTACCTGGAGCAAAGTAAAATAAATCACAACACCCTCCTCACAATCCTTGATCATGTGAGAAAACCGTTCCTTGCCTTAGGAGTCTTCTTGTTTGTAGTTTTGCTCCTCTGGCTTGATGACTTACAGCATGGAAAAGATGTACAGGTTAAAAACTTGTGCCCTCTGCTAAAAATATTTTCAGCTGGCTACAAAAAAAGAGTTCAACCACATTAACTCTTTGCATGCTTTTTTTTTTTGGCCACGCCGCATAGCTCTTGGGGATCTTAGCTCCCGACCAGGGAATTCCCTCATTGCATGTTTATGGCTGTTTTGAAAGTTAGCAGGCAAAGATGGTTTTGTTTTTGTTTTGTTTTTAAAGCTAGATCTGTGAAGTAACATGTGGAAGTAAGGAAATTCTATTCAGGAGTCAGAAGTCAGCTGTCACAGGAAATGCTCTAAGGGGAATCACTTAAAACGTCAAAAGCCTCCAAGAAGCTAGCGACATATCTGACAGGTCTATCCTGCCATTACAGTCTTGTGCTTTCCTACCACAGCAATCTTTAGTTAGCAACATTAAAGGCATTTGATGTAAATCAGTTTTGCAGATGATTATGAAAGTAGGTTTATCTCTGACCGACAGAACTAATTATAAAATGGGCTCAAGATTTCTATTGTAATCAAAGAAGCACAAGCAGCTGTGGGTTTTATTATGGAAATTAAACAGGAGGTATTATGCTCTTAGGTGCTAGCTAAGGAAAACCTTGAAAAAAAAAAAGATGGAAAAATTACACACATAAATAAGAAATATAATTTTTTTTTTGAAAAGTGATAGTCCATTATAAAGCTTGCTTTGGTATTGAAAAAACAAAGTTCTGGTAAAATTTGCAGACACTGGTTTTTAAAGTCACAACTTCCAGTCAGCAGCATAACAAGGGCTTGTTTCTTTGGGTTTTTTTTTGGCTGCATTGGGTCTTCATTGGTGCGCGCGGCCTTTCTCTAGTTGCGGCAAGCGGGCTTCTCATTGCGGTGGCTTCTCTTGTTGTGGAGCACAGGTTCTAGGCATGCGGGATTCAGTAGTTGCAGCACGTGGGCTCAGTAGTTGCGGCACACAGGACCTAGAGCATGCAGGCCTCAGTAGTTGTGGCATGTGGGCTCATTAGTTGTGGCGTGCGGGCTCTAGAGTGCAGGCTCAGTAGTTGTGGCACACAGGCTTAGCTGCTCCACGGCATGTGGGATCTTCCCAGACCAGGGATCAAACCCGTATCCCCTGCACTGGCAGGGGGATTCTTAACCACTGTGCCACCAGGGAAGTCCCAAGGGCTTGTTTTATAAAGGTATTTTTATGGGAATAATGAAGACCTTTCTAAGTAGAATACATAAAGGGAAAATATTTGACTGCATGAAATTTTTAACTTCTTCACGTCACAAGACATTACAAACAAAAACATTTGCAATATTCCTTTTTTTTTGGCGATACGGGGGGCCTCTCACTGTTGTGGCCTCTCCCGTTGCGGAGCACAGGCTCCGGATGCGCAGGCTCAGTGGCCATGGCTCATGGGCCCAGCCGCTCCGCGGCATGTGGGATCCTCCCGGACCAGGGCACAAACCCACGTCCCCTGCATCGGCAGGCGTACTCTCAACCACTGCACCACCAGGGAAGCCCTGTAATATTCTTGATAAACAGATTAACAATGCTGACAGAAAATGGGTAGAAGCCCCAAACAAGCAATTCACAAAAGATACAAATAGCCAATAATCTAATGAAGACGTTCCATCTCAAAAATAATTGAAAATAAAAATAAGATTTCTCATCTACTATTTTACATGAGTTAAAGAACCTACATGAAGAAAAAGGCACTTTTGTGTACCTTTTGTGGGAGTCTAAATTGGTATGATTTTTTTTTAATGGTAAGCTGACAATACTTATCAACTTAAAATGTGTATCTCTTTTGATCAAATATTTTGCCTCTAAGAATCTGCCTGAAGAAGGCAGTAAGATTAGTGTTACTGTCTGTAAGGATGTCCAGGTTTAGAGTTATATATAAAATAGTGAAAATCCATCAATCAGGGTGGGTTAAACAAAATTTGGTATAGCCATACAGAAGAGCAGGGGTTAGGCAAACTTCTTCTATAAAGGATCAGAGAGTAAATACCCTTGACCTTGTGGACCAAATGATCTCTGTCACAACTAGTCTACTGTCATTGGAGTATGAAAGTAGCCATCAACAATTCCTAAACAAATGGGTGTGGCTGTGTTCCAAAAAAACTTTATTTACCAAAACAAGTAGCCCATTGACATAGTTTGCTGAGCCCTGCAACAAATAAGCAAGTATTAAAAATAATGTAGTTTTTCATTAATTGGTACAGAAAGTTCTATAAATAGATTGGTAAACAAAGCAGATGACAAAACATGCACCCCAATAACTCACATTATATACCAATGAATACATACATACACACACAGAAAACACATATATTCACATAAAGCTATCTGCCTAAAATATATGTTTAATTCTAAGAAAAAGATAAATCAGGTTTTTTTATATAAATTGCAGGAGTCATCAAACTACGGCTCATGAACCAAATAAAGTTTTACTGGAACAGAGACATACCCATTCATTTATGTATTGTCTATGGCTGCTTACACAACAATAGAAGAACTGAACAGTTGTGACAAAGAATGTTTGGCAAGCAAAGCCTAAAATATTTATTATCTGGCCTTTTACAGAAAAGGTTTGCCCACAACCCCTGATTATCTACAATGTTAGATGAAGTCATTACCATTTTCTAAAAAAATTCCTTAGTTTGGGACTTCCCTGGTGGCACAGTGGTTGGGACTCCACGCTCCCAACGCAGGGGGCCCCAGTTCAATCCCTAGTTAGGGAACCAGATCCCACATGCTGCAACTAAGAGTTCACATGCCTCAACTAAGGAGCCCGCCTGCTGTAACTAAGACCTGGCACAACCAAATAAATAAATAAAATAAATTCCTTAGTTTTCTCCAAGAGTCTTGCAGATTAAAAACACCAGAACATACCTAAAAAGGACCAAAGTCTAAAGTATGTCATAACATTTATGATGGGATTCTGGAAAACCAGCAGCCCTCAGGCACAGTTAACAGCTAATAACAAGTCTATAACCATAAAACTCCCCTTACAGTGGCAGCTTCTTTGACCAACTGAAAGCTGATTTGGGAATGCTCAGACAGCTCTTCTTACCTTGTGATCACATGGTAGTAGTAAATCTTCCCTTCTGGGTCTCGGGCTGTCTTCCAGTTGGGAGGTAAGACAATGGTTTTTGGTTTGGGAGGAGATGGGGGTGGTAAATCCAAGAGATTATTTGTCACAACCATTTCAGGCTAAAAAGACACACAAGTTCTTGATCAGTGACATTTCTTTTAATCTGGCTGAGAAGGACAAAAATAGTCTACTTAAGCAGTATGTAAAAACATACATCTTCCTCTTCTTTTAAAAAAAGATTAAAAGTAAAGGTACAATCTGGGAAATGATCAGAGACAGTGTATATGAAGAGCTTTAGGGATCTATCAGAAAATTCACAGCAGGCTTCGAGTTCACCATCCAATACACCATATTTAAAAATATTCAGCAGCTCATTATGTAGAACAATATTTTTCAACCTTAAAAAAACCAATGCTAAATGGCATATAACCAACTCCAAGATACCAATTAGCTGAATGGGCTTTAGATAGAAGCAAATATGATAAAATGTTAACATTTATCCATTATATATTTTTTGTATGTTTGAAACCTCATATTTATATTTTAAAAATATAGAAATGGGTGAAAAGCTTGTTTTTCAGTTTAATTGAAAAAAATTTTCTAAATAAATAGCTTTTAAAAATTTAATGCCACATTTTGAAAAACATAAAAACTTCATAATCACTGTTATAAACTGAATTGTGCTTCCCCCAAATTCATATGAAGCCCTAACCCCCAATGCGATTGTATTTGAAGACAGCACCTTTAAATAGGTAATTAAGGTTAAATGAGGTCTCGAGAGTGCGGCCCTAATGCAACAGGACTGGTGTCCTTATAAGAAGTGGAAGAGGCATCAGGGAATGTGCGCAGAGAAAAGACCAGGTGAGGGCACAGTGAGAAAGCAGCCATCTGCAAAACAGGAGCAGCCTCAGGAGACAGCAAACCTGCTGACACCTTGATTTTAGACCTGCAGGCTCCGAGACTATGAGAAAATAAATTTCTGTTAGTTAAGCTACGTAGTCTGTGGTATTTTGTTAAAGTAGCTCTAGTAAACTGATAATATAATCATGATAAGGATATATACTCTTAATTGTTCATTCTATGTAATCCAGTTAATAAAGAAAAAAATTTCCAACTTTACCTTTGCTTGAGCAGTTAAAGAGGAACCTAAGATCCCAGGCTCAGATAAAACATGGCCACTTTTAAGCAAACCTAAGTCTCCGAGCATTGCTGCTTTGTGCATACCCCCCCAAACCTTACTTCACAGAGCTGCTTTTTGTTGGCCCCACTTAAGTTCCACTTCCTCCATTCCTGTAGTCCTCCATCTAGCCTATAAGGTGATCTCTTTCCCCTAAGCTTTCGTGTCACTTAAGAATATTCCAAATTATTCAATATCTACTAGATTACCAATCCTTCTCCAATTTGGGAATAATTTTTTCCCCTCCTCAAATTCTACCTGCATATTTCATGACACTAAACGCTGACTACTTTTAGTATTATTCATTGTGATCCTCATCTCTCTTACTGGAATGTCAGCTTTTAAGCACAGGAATGGAATTTTACCGTTTGTTTTCAAAATGCCTAGAAGGACCCAATTCACGGCAAGCCCTCAAATACCTGCCATACACACTGTCTTATTTCTAAGTGTTTCACATGTAGTCTTTTTACTCCATCTCCACCGACTGCCCTACTTATCGAAAGCCACCAGAATGCAACAAGAGCCTTCTCTGGAAATGTCAGTATTCTAACCTGCTAATTTGTTCATGTTTAGTTTCTCAACTGCTTCTAGTGCCAGCTCCTATTTCCCATTTCATCTAAAAACAGCATTTCATCAAGATTTCATCATATCCTTCTACACAGGTGGCAGAATACCAAAAGCTTCTTTCAATATATATTGTACAACATGTAAAGTGAACTATATCATTCAATTTTATATCTCTAGCCCTCAGTACAGTATCATAGTCTAGTTCTCCATAAATAATGATGGAGCTAGTCTAGAAAACTATTACTTCAGAAATTCATAGCAAAGTGTAAGAATACAAGATCAGTCAGTTTAAATTACAAATAAAAAGGATCCTAAGGGCAAAGTACATATAAATTAACATAGTTGTAAGTTCCACAGAATTTTTTTTAATTGACAGCACTGTCGTGTAGTGCTCCCTCAGGGTCCACAGGCACTTGAGTGAAATTGGAGACTACAAAAATTTTTATAAAAAACAAACAAACAAAAAAGGAGTAAAAAACCCCCTAACTAAACCAAACAAACAGTAATCTTTCTAAAGATAAGGTAGGTAGCCAAGGAGAGTTTTAGCAACCAAAATATTTCTTACTGGCTGTAAGGGCTGAGGCTGCCCTGGTGCAACTATTGTAGTCACGGCTGTGGCTGGCTGTACCACCACTCCTTGTGGGTGAGCTGTGAAAATCTGTTGTCCCTGGATGTACTGAAGACTTGGCTGGGCATAACTCTAAAAGATAAAATGAAGAAATTCACAATTTATAGTTTTCTAGTTCTTAATAAGCAGTATCTGACTTCCAAGTTGACAAATCTTATTGGAAGATACACCCATTAATTTTTTTTTAACTTTAAATGTGAATATTTTACTACAAATGTGTAAAACAATCTTTTACTTCAAACTCTTTTTTTCTTTTTTGAATAATTCCCTAGTCATTTACTTACTTTGATTTTACTTTATCATAAAAAGTTAGAAAACTTTTTTGAGGCGGAGGCGGGGATGGGGGTGGGGTGGAGTACTCATGAAACCTGTCTAATTGTTTGGCTTCAATGAGACTTGAATAACAACTGAAGTGCTACTCCTAGGATACCTGAGAAAGAGCTCCACACAATGCTCTTTACAGAGAGCGTTTTAACTACCAACTCCTAATAACTAACAGCTTGTTTTGTTTTGTTTTGTTTCTTTGCAGTATGCAGGCCTCCCACTGCTGTGGCCTCTCCCGTTGCGGAGCACAGGCTCCGGATGCGCAGGCTCAGAGGCCATGGCTCACGGGCTCAGCTGCTCCGCGGCATGTGGGATCCGCCCGGACCAAGGCACGAACCCGTGTCCCCTGCATCGGCAGGTGGACTCCCAACCACTGCGCCACCAGGGAAGCCCTAACAGCTTGTTTTGATTGGAAAAGGTCAAAAGGAGTGATCCACAGTAGAGGAAGCTGAAGGTGATCAAATTTTAAACTAGTTTTCTAGCTTTTTGTAGGCTTCTATAAGAAAGACAGCGGAATTCAATATATCTAAAATCCTTATGACACACTGATTTATATATAGTGCTTTATCAAGCAGAAAAGCCCTTTTGCATATATTATCTCACTCAATCCTGACCACCATCAGAGGTGGGTGTATCTCCCACACCTGGAGTTATATAACAAATAAGTACCATGGCTAGCTAGGACTCAAGCATACTCTGAAATTACGATAGAAAAACTGTTTAAAGAAGTGGCAAGAAGCCCTGAAAACAACCTTGTTTTGTTAAAAGGTGATGACTACCAAGGAGCTGAACAGATACGTATTTAAGGACAGATTTTGACCCTATAAACTGAGATTCTATCAGGTAAAATGATTCAGAAGTATTAATTGATAAGTACTCAAAATACAAAATATAATCAAAATATAATTATTCCAAATGATACCAGTAAAGACCCAAGGAGTCTGAATAGGTAAATGTAGCTGCCCGGCAGATTTCTGGATGAATAATTACTGAGAAGACACACAGAAAGAGGAAGAATACAATACTTGATTCAGTATTGCAAACAGCTTAATCTACACATTATCATAAACCAGATTCAATGCTAACTGTCAAAGCAGAATTGTCAGAATAGTATCACAAAGCTGAGAGAAAAATGTATACCTCAGAAATATTTTCATCTCTAGGTATTTGGATACAAGATGGGAAATACGTGCAACATCAAAAATTTTGTAGAAATTTATCTCCTCACCTAACTCCTGCCCCAAAGCCTGAAATCTGATTAAATCCAAAACACTTTTCAATACTGACATATAACCAGACAATACTGAATCAGAAGTCAGTACCAAAGAAGTATTAGCAACAAAGATGACCAAATACTGCTTAAAAAATTAAAAAGCATACTCTAAAGGTAAAATATAAATAATTCTTAAAGTTCTCCTTTAACTCTGATAAAATAAACCATAAAACAAAACATATCTAACTGGGCTCTATTCTATGATCACCAATCTATCTGGAAAGTTAAGTTTCCAAGAAAGTTTCTAAGGGCCGACACCCAGAAGGAAGCATCCTCAAGAGGCAAGTTACTGTGCATGTAGGAGGTTAACACGTATGTGCTTGTAACCCTGATTCTGAGTAGAAACAGTTTCTGGGAGGCTGAAGAGGACAGATGGATAAACTGGAATTTTCCCAACCCACTAAGCCAAACACCAGATACTGTAACGAATCCCAAATTTAATTTCTTCCTGACCCACTCTCCTAATCTAATCTATCGGCAAATTCCGTTGGCTCTGCATTTTTTATATATGTATGTACATGTGCACGTCTATCTATACGTGTGAGTTTATATATATGTGTGTGTATGTATATATATATATATACATAAAAATAAAATCTGATCATTTCTTACATCTCTCCTTCTACTATTCCAGTATAAGTGGCCATATCCTCTTGCCTAGATTACTCAACAGTCTTTTAACTGATCTCCCTACTTCTGCCCTTGACTCCCACGATCTCTTCACCCAGAGCAACCAGAGCGAGTCTCTTAAAATACGTCAAATCACGCCAGTCCGCTGTAACTGCTCCAGTGGATTTTCACATTATTCAGACTAACAGCCCAAATCCTCACAAAGCCCTGACCGTCTTGTTCCTCCCCAAGGCCTTGACCTCATTTCCTACTACAGGTGTACCTCAGAGATATTGTGGGTTCAGTTTCAGAACATGCAATAAAGTGAATATTGCAATAAAAAGTGAATCACATGAATATTTTGGTTTCCCAGCACATATAAAAGTCATGCTTCACTATAGTGGACTCTATTAAGTGTACAGTAACATTAGGTCTAAAAAACAATGTACATACCTTAATTTAAAAATGCTTTACTGCTTAAAAATGCTGACCATCCTCTGAGCCTTCAGAGAGTCATGTCTGTCTGCTGGTGGAGGGTCTGGCCTCGATGTTGATGGCTGCTGACTGGGTGGCTGTGGCAATTTCTTAAAATAAGACAATGAAGCTTTTGCCACACTGACTGACTCTTCCTTTCACCATTTCTCTAGAGTACGTGATGCTATTTGATAGCATTTTACCCACAGTAGAACTGCTTTTAAAATTGGAGTCAATCTTCTTAAACTTGCCTCTGCTTTATCAACTAAATATATGTAATATTCTAAATCCTCTGATATCATTTCAACTATCTTCACAGCCTCTTTACCCGGAGTAGATTCCATCTCAAGAAACTACTTTCTTTTTTGCTCATCCATAAGAAGTAACTCCTCATCCATTCAAGTTTTATCATGAGACTGTAGCAGTTCAGTCACATCTTCAGGCTCTGCTTCTAATTTTAGTTCACTTGCTATTTCTACGACATCTGCAATTACTTCCACCACTGAAGTCTTCAACCCCTCCAAGTTATCAATTAGAGTTGGAATCAACTATATCTTCTGGATAACTTGCTGCAGTTTCTACATGAGCACTTTCTGCTTCACCTTGCACTTTAATGTTGCAGAGATGGCTTCTTTCCTCCAACCTCATGAACCAACCTCTGCTAAGCTTCAAACTTTTCTTCTGCAGCTTTCTCCCCCATCTCAGCCTTCACAGAACTGAAGAGAGTTAGGGACCTGGTTCTGGATTAGGCTTTGGCTTAAGGGAATGTTGTGGCTGGTATGATCTTCTATCCAGACCACTAAAACTTTCTTCATATATATCAGCAATAAGGCTGATAAGACTATTTTGCTTTCTTATCAATTTCCTTCAAGAACTTTTCCTTTGCATTCACAATTTGGCTAACTGGCACAAGAGGCCTAGCTTTTGGCCTATCTCAGCTTTCAACTTGCTTTCCTCACTAAACGTCATCATTTCTAGGTTTTGATTTAAAGTGAGAGATGTATGACCCTTCCTTTCACTTGATATTTAAAGGCCATCGTAGGGTTATTAATTGGCTTAATTTTAATATTATTTTGTCTCAGGGAGTAGGGAGGCCCAAGGAGAGGGAGAGAGATCGGAAAATGGCCAGTCGGTGGAGCAGGCAGAACACAACACTTACCGATTAAGCTCGCTGGCTTATATGGGCTCAGTTCATGACACCCCAAAACAATTACAATTGTAATGTCAAAGATCACTGATCACAGCTCACCATAACAAATATAATAATAATGAAAAAGTCTGAAATAGTGCAAAAATTATCAATTTGTGACACAGAGACATGAAGTAAGCAAATGCTATTGGAAAAATGGCACCAACAGACTTAATTTGACACAGAGTTGCCACAAACCTTCAATGTGTAAAAAATGCAGTATCTGCAAAGCACAATGAGGTGTGCCTGTACTGTCACCTTAACTCATTTGGAAAAGGAAGGGCTTCACAATTATATCACACATTTTGAATGACAAACATTTCATATCCTGATTTTGAAAAAAAAAATTTAAAAGCTAGATCAAGATACTAGTTTTGAGAACAACTGTCAACAGGATGAAACATGTTATCTTCAGAGTGATCAAGAGGTTAAACACCCAGATCTACAATAGAAAAATGCTAATATTTTGGAGGGTAAAATTTCTTTGACCTTCAGTGAAACTAGGTTCATGAAGAATTTATCTGACAAGATCACAGTTGTGTAAGGCTTATCATGGAGACACTCTAAAGGATTCAATTAATGTGTAGTAAAGCTGTGGTTTCTTTAGCATGAAAAGTCTGGCTACAAATGTTGGTTGTGAGATAACTTCTAAACTGAAATGGCATTACCCAGCTTGATCATTCCCTGTATTTACTAGATATGGCTCCAGACAAATTTTATCTGTTTCTAAAGTGCAAAGATATATTTAAAGGATAACAATTTATCAACAGGAAAGAATGTTACACATACTGAAAATAATTCCCAAAGGAAATGCAATGCCAAAAACATCTTAACAACATCACTGCAAAAAAAAAAAAAAAAAAAAAAAAAAAAAACCCACAAAAAGCAAAACCTAAACAAACAAAAACACCCAAAATTGCAACATTCATTTGCAGATGTAGTGTTTGAAACTCAAACTGTCAAAAAGTAAAGGGAAAATAAACATTTTCTAGGGTTCTGTAGTACCTACCCAAACTAGCTGACAATCATACGCCAAAGCCAAAACAATTAACAGCAATAAAAAGGGGAAACTGGTTTGCAGTCCCACTGAAATAATACAAAAGATGTACACATTTGTGAGATATATCCAAATAGCATGTGCCTGCAAAATTTATCCATTTACTGGAAGAAAGTCTGTTGGAGATTGGCTCTACCTACAAGGGACCTGAAATTATACAAAACATAAATCCAATCTAGAAATATCTTTAAAATGGGACTTCTAATGGGAATTTTAAGAGAGGGTCCAATATGTTATAGAGGGGAAAACATGATTGTTCTGCTCCCACTTCTAAAGGGAAAAAAACAGCTATTACTTTATATCTGAGTCACTTCACTTATGTGAACAATTTATAGTCTAAGCACTCAAATTTTTTGAGATGTAATTTAGTGTAACTTTTTAAGAATAGGTCACTCTAATGTCACAAGACCACTATAAAGCACATGGCCTCAGTTAAAACGGAGCTTGTATGTCTAATAAGCAGCTGTGGCAAAAAATTAAAGCCACCTTCTGATAACACAACTGCTCCAAATTTCAAAGATACTGCATATGTACACATACTCACAAATTTTTATTATACCATATCACATACTACTTCACTGTCAAGGTTATTATACCTCAGCTCATGTTGGTATGGTTGATATTTGATTTGAACAACACAGGCCTCAACATAGACCAGATAGATGACCTTGATCAGCTGTAATTCACAGCCCACTAATGTCAATACTCTCAGTATTAAGGTAACTAAGTAAGAACTATAATTAAACCTTCAAGGTATATGGTGCTTTAAATTTATCATTACTACTATCCATTATCTCATACAAACCTCAACCACTCTGAGGCATTCTGCTCATTTAATAAATGAGAAAACTAAAACTGAAGAATCTAAGTGCCTGTCTCCAGGACACACAGTAAGTGACAGACTAGGACTTAAAATACACACGCTAACAACATGGTCTATGCTTCTCATTACCCAGAGTCGAACATCATCTCTGATCAACTAATCTCATAAAGGGAAGGATAGTCTGAACCATCTTAGTCCATTTATCAACTACTCTAGCACACGAAAAGCAGATTAGGGAGTCAATAAATGACTCCTTGGTAGGAACAGACTGAAAACTGGAAATACAATTGTAATACTTGGGCTTCCCTGATGGCTCAGTGGTTGAGAGTCCGCCTGCCGATGCAGGGGACATGGGTTCGTGCCCCGGTCCTGGAGGATCCCACATGCCACAGAGTGGCTGGGCCGGTGAGCCATGGACGCTGAGCCTGCGCATCCGGAGCCTGTGCTCCGCAACGGAAGAGGCCACAACAGTGAGAGGCCCGTGTACCGCAAAAAAAAAAAAAAAAAAAATTGTAATACTTGAGTCTTAAGGCTATGACTAAACCCTAGAGAAATCTTTTGCTCAATGGGATGGGAAAATAAATTCTATTTTAGAAGAACAACCATAAGATCACTGAGCTCTCTACTAAAGAGTCTTTAATTCTGTAGGAGGCAGAATTATGCATAACAAACACCACCACCAACAACAATAAAAGGCTAAGAAAATTGATAGCCAATAACCAATAATGCCCATTTTCTTACCTGCTGTATTTAGCCCTATAACATTAATTTTAAGCCAAAAATGAAAGGAAAAACACACACACAAAAAAACTAAGTATAAGAATGTTCAGTGCAGTATTATTTATAATTATGAAAAAGAACTTTCAATTTAAACAACTACCCCAGGAAAATGGATAAACAGCGACCTTATAAGCAAATGTGGTATTATACAGACGTTAAAATGTGTATGTGGGGCTTCCCTGGTGGCGCAGTGGTTGAGAGTCCACCTGCCGATGCAGGGGACACGGGTTCGTGCCCTGGTCCGGGAAGATCCCACATGCCGCGGAGCGGCTAGGCCCGTGAGCCATGGCCACTGAGCCTGCGTGTCCAGAGCCTGTGCTCCGCAACGGGGGAGGCCACGACAGTGAGAGGCCCACACACCGCCCAAAAAAAAAAAAAAAAAAAAGTGTATGTATGCATATATATATATATATATATATATACACACACACACACACACATATAAAAATACAGAGTAATTTGGAGAAATGGTTAAGAATCATGTTACACAGAAAAATATGGGACAAAAAAACTTCCAAGTCTTCAAAATTACAAATTCATAAAATATATAAACATGTAAAGAGATCATAAAAAATGAAGGGAGGGGCTTCCCTGGTGGCACAGTGGTTGGGAATCTGCCTGCCAATACAGGGGACATGGGTTCGAGCCCTGGCCTGGGAAGATCCCACATGCCGCGAAGCAACTAGGCCCGTGAGCCACAACTACTAAGCCTGCGCGTCTGGAGCTTGTGCTCCACAAGAAGAGAGGCCATGACAGTGAGAGGCCCACGCACCGCGATGAAGAGTGGCCCCCGCTCACCGCAACTAGAGAAAGCCCACGCACAGAAATGAAGACCCAACACAGCCAAAAATAAATAAATAAATAAAATTTTTTTTAAAAAATGAAGGCAGTTAAAACAGTTAACGTTTTCAGAATTAAAGCAGGACACTTTGTCACGGCCTTTTGGACAAAATTTTGATACAGCTTCATAACAAAAATACAAACAGAAGTAAAAATCACTTCTGTTACCTCAATACTAAGTAATGTGTACAGGAAACATCTTTGGGAGTCTCTGCCATCCACAATAATTCACCTTTAAGGGGTGACAAGGAATGATGGGAGAGACATAGGAATGTGGTGAAGACGATGCCTTAAAGAGTCTTTTTTTTTTTTTAATGTATTGGTTTTATAAAAAAGAAAAGAAATTTGATTTCAAACCACAAAAATACACTTCAAAAGTTATTCTCTCTCTCTCTCTCGCTGATCACTTGCTTTTGGGGAAGCCAGCTGGCATGTTGTAAGCAGCGCTATTGAGAGTGGTAAGGAACCAAGGACAGCTAACAACCATGTGAGTGAGCTTGAAAGTAAACCTTCCATCCCCTGTCTAGTCTTCAGATGACTGCAACCCTGCTTAATAGCTTGACTGTAATTTCATGACTCTGAGCCAGAACCACCCAGCCAAACTGCTTCTGAATTCCTGACCCACAGAAACTATGAGATAATAATTACTTACTGTTTTAAACTGCTAAGTGATTTGTGACACAATAGATAACTAGTATACATAAAATTAGCCAATATGTAAAAGTGATCAATGGCAGGACTTCCCCCTCACATCAGATTTAACATCCCATAAACAGACAGTAAAACAGACAAAAGTATTTCCAAAATTAGTTACCTGTACAATTGGTGGAGTTGTCTGTGAGTAGGGTGATGTCACACCATAAACAGTTGGACAAGCCTGTCCTTGATAATATATGGTTGCTTGAGACTGTGCAGGAGAGTACTGCTGCTGTACACTCACGGACTGTTGGTTTGAATCCCAAACACCGTAATTCTGTCCCTGGACTGGGCCTGGGGCTGGCACTGGCAAGACGGTGACACTAGAGTCTTGGTGTACCACACCATCACTTTGGGCCACATACTGTGAACTGGAAACTTCCACAGGGGCTGCCACATGTGGCACCACTGGCACAGGTGGAGGGGCAGCAAGGGGTTCTGTAGAATGTCCCACCAAGGGCTGAGAATGATCATAAGGAGCAGGAGAACACACAGGATCCATGCTGGGTGTGGGGAGGAGCACCTTTCCAGCATTAGGATTGCTGGGATCCACATAGGCCTGCATGGGGTAACCTGGTGGGTAACCAGCAAAGGGGTGATGAGGGGCACTGTAGCCAAGAGAGTCATAGGGCAGTGGAGACGTCATTCCCAGGTTCTGCATCTGCTGCTGTTGTTTTTGAGCCTCCCGCTGAGCTACCTCCTGCTCAAACAACTTTCGACGCTCCTCTGTAGAAAGTTTATTGCGATCTTTAATTCGTACTTTCTTTTTAGAAGTTGGTGTATCATATCTAGAAAGAAAACAATAAGAGCACCACAAAAAGTTTTTCCCTAAATCAGAGACATAACCAAAGCACTAATAAATGTTATGCCACTCGATACTAAACCATTAACCACACCAACTCCAATTTGGCACAGGCTGAAAATCATACTCAAAATTACTTAAGGAGTTTTGCAGATAGGAGAGAACCTCAAGGAAATAGACACTTAGATGGAAATAATAACTTTATCCTTATCCTCAGCTTCTAGAACTTCAAACTAAAGATACATGTAGTATCCTAAATAGATTCTTCTTTATAGTTAAGTTCTGTAGTTCTGTAACTACAAATTCTGAAATTAAAACAAAAACCCAAATACACTAATAAAAGCTACAGAATTTGATGTATGTCTGACCACACCCATTAATATCAACACAGGTTAGTTAAGTGAAAGACAAGCATGTACACATAAAAGTATGGGGGGTTATATTCACATACTCTTCTTTGTGCAGTACCAAGTATAATATCATATTGCTAAACCTAATATCCTGTGATAGTTTTGACAAGTATCCCCAGTAAGCCCCCAAGAAACCATCAGCTCTAACATTCACAAGAGAACTGAGAACTTAAAAGATTCTTTTGTGAAGTTCTATGGACTGAATCGAACTTTTGATAAAGGCTCTTGGCAAAAATGAAAAATGACAACTAATTTCAAGACGTTTCATTGCAAAGAAACATCTAATAATAGATTCATGGATAAGGGTACAGCATTTATCCAAACAACAAAAAATATATGGTCTAAAAACCTCTTAGCTGAAAACTTCCTTTAAAGTGTTAGTGGGGTGGTAGTACCCTTAGCTGCCTGGCAGAAACAAATGCAAACAGTCTATAGAAGAGAGCACCTTAAATCCAGGCCTCAATGAATTCCTACAGATTAAGTTCTAAGGAACAGGAGTTCATTAGACAATAAAATTAATCTTGCCATTTGTAACAACATGGATGGACCTAGAGGGTATTATGCTGAGAAAAATAAGTAAGACAAAGAAAGATAAATACTGTACGATTTCACTTGTATGTGGTATCTAAAAAACAAAACAAATGAACAAATAAAACAAACAGAGTTACAGATACAGAGAACAAACAGCTGGTTGCCAGAGGGGAGAGGGGAAGAAAGAAACAGGTAAGGGAGATTAAGAGGTACAAAAATTCAGTTGCAAAATAAATGAATCACACGGTATGAAATGTACAGTGTGGGGAATATAGTAAAAAACTATGTAATATCTTTGTAAGGTGACATACTGTAATTAGACTTACTGTGGTGATCATTTTGGTATAGAAATATCAAATTACTATGCTGTGTAACAGGAACTAACAATGCTGTAGGTCGATTATACTTCAAAAACACTCACAGAAACAAACTCATAAAAGATAAACATGTACTAGGAATATAATGTACCACATGATACATATATAATGAACACTGCTGTATGTTCTATATGAAAGTTAAGAGAGTAAATCCTAAGAGTTCTCATCACAAGGAAAGGTATTTTCCCCTATTTCTATAATTTTGTATCTACATGAGATGATGGATGTTCACTAAACTTATTGTGATGATCATTTCATGATGTATGTAAGTCAAATCATATGCTTAACATCTTAAACTTATACTGTGCTGTATGTCAATTATATCTCACCGAAAGCAAAAAAAAAGGTATATAATTATAAAATTATAAAATACACACACACACACACACACACACACACACACACAAGTGAGAGGAAGAGACATATAAAGACGGCTGATGCTGGAATTATCACACACAAAATATTAGAGATGTTTAATATGTTTAATACGATAAAAGAGGCTATTAAAAATATGCCTAAGGAACAGGACCATAAAATACTATCAGGCAGATTTGAATAAGAACCCCATGAAGCATCTAAAAAGGAAAAAGAATGAAAATTAAAACTCAATTATCATTTGAAATTGCACATACGTGGCAAAATTCTACTTAAATATCCAAGAGAAACTTTTGCACATGTACACCAAAATAAGATAACAGCACTATACATAATAGAAAAAGTTTTATAACAAAACATTATACAGTAATAAAAATAAACTGATACTATTATGAATAAATCTTAGTAAATAAATATCAAGTCAAAACAAAGTACTGTCAAATTAAATGCAAAATAATAGCCTTTTCATACAGTTAAAACTAACATATTTTTAAGAAATATATATTAGATGACATAAAACTATATTTAAAAAAAGGCAGGCCAGGGTACAATGAACAACAGAATCCAACAGATACTACTTGCTATCATAAGTAGTAAAGACAGGGGATGGTGCAGAAATAAGTGACATAGCAAGATTTATATAATTGTTAAGATCCTGACTTTTGTGCTGGGACCTCCAGGGCTCATTACATTATAGTAAATGTATGGAGAAAAGGTCCAGGGATAGAAATAAGTGTCATGAACCAAGAAATAACCTAATATTCAATTCAATTCAGTGCCCATAAGAGCCATGGTATGGTTAAGCAAGAGATTAGATCTGAAGAGAATTAGTAACTTGGAAGATGATCTTCAAATTTAAAAAGATCGATGAATTTCAACCAGGTTGGAAAAAAAAAGAAATCCTCATATAAACACAGGGAAACGATAATGCGGAACACCAAATACAAAGAGAACTTCTTAAAAGCAGGCCAAGAGAAAAGCCAGGTTACTTAACAAAGAATAGCAACCAACAAGTTTCGTAAAATCAATAAGGAAAGTCAGAAGAATGAAGAATAACAGCTTCAAAGTATTCAGAAAAACTGTCAACCCAAAAGAACTTCCTTTCAAAAATGAGAATAAATGTTCACATAAAGACTTGTTCATAGCCAGTAATATTCACAAGAGTCATCTGGAAACAATCCAAACACCTATCAACTAATGAATTTATAAACAAACTATAGTATATCTATACAATGGACTACTACTAAGCACTAAAAAAGAACTGAGATGCATAATAACATGGATGAATATCTCAAATATAATATGCTAAGTGAAAGAAGACAGAATATATTTTATAGTATATGATACCATATATAATGACATTGTGGAAAAGACAAAACCAAGTCAGAAAGGAGATCAGTGGTGGCCAGGGACTAGGAATAGAAGAAGGGGACGCACTACAAAGGGGTAAGAGATAATTTTATGAGGTGATGAAATGTTCTATTGGGTTGGCCCAAAAGTTCGTTTGGATTTTTCCGTAAGATGTTATGGAAAAACCCGAATGAACTTTTTGGCCAATCCAATATATAACCTCTGTGGTTGTAGTTACAGAACTGTATGCATCTGACAAAACTCAATGAACACTACACTTAAAATCATGAATTTTACTGTAAGCAATTTATACTTGCTGGTTAAATAAAGCTGATTTTTAAAATTGAGGGTGAGCAATGCAAACAAAACATGAAAAACACTTTTTAGACAAAAACTGAAATATTATGAAGAGAAACTCACTAAAAGAAACCATTTAGGGACTTCCCTGGTGGCGCAGCGGTTAAGAATCTGCCTGCCAATGCAGGGGACATGGGTTCGATCCCTGGTCTGGGAAGATCCCACATGCCAGGGAGCAACTAAGCCCGAGCACCACAACTACTGAGCCTGAGCTCTAGAGCCTGCGAGCCACAACTACTGAAACCCACACACCTAGAGCAGGTGCTCCGCAACAAGAGAAGCCACCTCAATGAGAAGCCCACGCACCGCAACGAAGAGGAGCCCCCTCTTGCCGCAACTAGAGAAAGCCTGCACGCAGCAACAAAGACCCAACGCAGCCAAAAATAAATAAATAAACAATAATTTAAAAAAAGAAACCATTTAAAGGGGTCTGAGATAAGAAAGAAGAGAAACTAGTAAATGTAAACAAACTAAAAACATCAGTTGGTCTACATAAAAAAATTAACAATAACTGATGGGAGGAGAGAGGAGGAATTATAATACTGGACAATAATACCATGTAAATTGGGAAGGCTAAATGGTCAGAGTAAGTACTTATGTTGTTCAGGATATTGATTAGCTTCAAATTTTATTAAATTGGAACAACCAGTTAAAGAATTAAAGAGTTGCCATAAAAGATTAAAAAAGACAAAAACAAAACCACCCAATCAGCTATAAGCTATTTATTAGACACAGAAAAGTTGAAAGTAAAAGGAAGGAAGAGGCTTCCTGGGACAGGACTTGCCCCCTATCCTCTGCTTTAGCTCCTCTCTGAAGTACCTAGACAACAGTATTTGAGGCACATTTCCTGAGTTGTTTTACAGATGTGAAAACCCCCACCAAATGGAAGATGTTAACTACTTAAAGACCAGGAGCACATAGCCCCAGGCCTCCTTAAGCCTAAGGACTGATAATATTAACCCCTGTTACCTTACCCTCACCTGGCTTTTAAAAATGCTTTGTGGAAACCCTTCAGGGAGCTTGGGGTTTTTTTTAGAGCATGAGCCACCCATCTTCTTGCATGGCCCTGTGATAAACCTTTCCCTGCTCCAAAAAATAAAAAATAAAATAAAATAAAAGGAAGAAAGATATACCAGTTAAATCCTACTAAAAGGAAGATAAGCATATTTCTATGAATATCAAACAAAAGAGACTATAAAGCAAGCTTCAATAAAATTCTAAGAACTGTTATCATACAGATCAATTAATGACAAACTGAAAATTTAACAAAAAGAAATTTAAACACATTGTATATCCTAATAGTATTTAGAACTAGATTATGAAGCTGCATTAACAAGAGTAGTTCAAGCAGTCTTACAGTTCTTAAACACTTCTATCAGAAGAGAAAAATTAATGAGCTAAGAATCCCAATTGTTCCAGTTAAGAAATTAAAAAAACAATATAACAAGCCTAAAAAAGTGGAAGGAAACAAAATATGAGTAGAAATCAATTACCAAGATAAAAAATGCTATCATTCTGTGATTTGCATTGGAGGTATTGCTAGCAAAGTAACATGAACAAGGCATAAGAATTAGAAAGGAAAACCAAAACAAATTCATATGATATGGACTGTTGACAATGACAAAAAAAGGAGACAGTGGGGCAAAATAAAAATCCTATACTCTTGAAATTAATACAAGTTTTGTAATGGTTAACAAAAATAGGATCAATATACAAAGGTGAATTGCATATCAAAACACCAAAACCAAACTGAATATGTAACAGAAGTTAGGGTTCTCAGAAATAAATACACCAAAAGATAAACAAGTTTTTCTGGAGAAAACTATTAACGAAGACATTAATGAAAAACTTTATCTTCATTAAAAATATTAAAGAAGACCTAACTAGATAGAGAATATTCAAATACTCAAAGCAGATTCTAAGGAAGAATAAATCTGAGAAAAGACAGGGCATCCCAGAAGATCAAGTAGGGATTTGCCCTACTTGCTATCAAGACTTAAATATAAGATAGTCATGAGGAGCCCAGAAACAGATCCTCCCATATGTGAAAACCTGTTGGAAAGAGGCAGCACTGCAGATCAGTGCGGAAAGGAGGAGCGTTCAAGTAGTAAATGATGCTGGGACAACTGGGTGTTCACCTAGAAAGAAATGAAACCAGATGCCTACCTTAAAATATATACAAAAATTAATTCCCAATGGATTAAGGACTTAAATCTTGCTAAAACAAAATGTATATACACACACACACACACAAAGTCATCTCAAGAGTTGGGAAGAATTTCTTAAAACACTGTAAACACTAACCATAAAGGAAACAGACAATATATATGATATATTCAATTACACCATAATTAATAAATTCTGTGTATTGAAAGATACAGAAAGAGTCAAAATACAAGTCATAAACTGGGAAAAAATACTTGCAAAATTATATTTAGAATATAAAAAAAGAACACCTAGAGCTTAAAAAGACAAAATTTAATAAATGAACACCACATATAAAAAGACACTTCACAGAAGAGTAAATAGGAATGGTCAATAAACATATGGCAAAATGTTCAATCTATTTAGTAATGAGAGAAATGTAAATTAAAATCATAATGAATTACTATTACATACCCAGAGAACCCAAAATTAAAAATTCTGACAACTGCATTACATGACTGCTATATCTCAATTTTTTTTTAAAGTATATTTAATTTAAAAAGAACTTCTCGGGAACAAATGTTTTCTAGTGCCCAGCAGGTGATTATGTGGCCTGTTTTTCTACCAGCATCACAAGACAGCCTCTGACACAGGGATCAAACAACATTTTGAACTGGTATGGTGTAAGATTCACTAGAAAACATAGGGTTATCTCCCATCAACCCCCATTCCCCTTTAAAGAACAAATCTCTGGCTCCTCAAATAGCATTTAAACGTTATGAAGTAGAAGTCATTCGAGTACCAAAAATCTATTCGTCTTCACAGCTATTACTACTGTCAAAAGAGACTCTCAATAGTTATGAGTAGAGTTTCCTTTTATACTCACTCACAAGAGAATACATTTATTACAAAAGCACTTGTTGCCCCCAAATCAGAAGTGTATCACTTGGGTACTTTTTGACTTGCTCAGAAAAGAGAGTAACTCACATAGGTCACTTACCTGTCATCTGGCCTTTTTGTTCCCCGCTCATAGGCGGAAGAAGGTGGTGAGAGGGAGCCCCTTCGTTTCCTTTTCTCTTTATTTTGAGTTTGTTTGTCTGGGTCTCTCTCTCTTGACCTGTTAGGAGTCTTTGGGGCAACTGTTTGATCTCTGAAGCCAACAGCATCCCTTCCTCGTTCGGTTACTAGGGGAAAAGGTTTTTAAAAAAATTTACTTGGTAGACTTTTCTCCATCATGATAGTATACCAACTGTATAATAAAATTTCTATCCAACAAACAGATCTATGGACTCCTCCTTCATATACCCAGTCCCAAATTTGGACGAGACATAAGGTCTTATATGCTTGTGTGCTCTACTTCCTAAAAGTCTCTTCCATGACTGCCCTTTTCTACCTTTTCCCACCAAAGTCTCAGTCCAAGCTTTCATCATTTCTAACTAGTTCTGTGGAACACATGCATGCAAAATGTTTCTGATACCTTTAGTAAGGCAGTCTGCTTGTCAGTTCAAAATGTAAAAGCCTTCCCCTGCCCTTATAACTCTACATATTTACAACTGGTAGAAAAACAGCCTGGCATGCTAAACATAAAAACCTCAATAGAAAAATCTCTTTAATTAAAAAAAAAATTAGACAACTTTTTATGAACTACAATTTCAAAAGAAAAATATTTCAAACACAGGTGAAACAGGTGGTAACTCAGTAAGTTATCAAAACCAGAGAGCTACATCTTCAAAAAAAGAACGCCAGCTTCCTATTCAAAGATGGAAGCTGGGGGCTTCCCTGATGGCGCAGTGGTTAAGAATCCACCTGCCAATGCAGGGGACACGGGTTTGAGCCCTGGTCTGGGAGGATCCCCCATGCCGCAGAGCAACTAAGCCCGTGCACCACAACTACTGAGCCTGCGCTCTAGAACTCGCAAGCCACAACTATTGAAGCCTGTGTACCTAGAGCCCGTGCTCCGCAACAAGAGAAGCCACCACAGTGAGAAGCCCGCACACGGCAACGAAGAGTAGCCCCTGCTCACCACAACTAGAGAAAGCCCGTGCACAGCTACAAAGACCCAACGCAGCCAAAAATAAAATAAATTAAAAAAAAAAAAAGATGGAAGCTAACCTTCTTCACTCAGTCTCTTTACCTAGAATGGTTCTCACCCAATTCCATTGCCACTGCTCCCAAAAGCTGCCCTAAGTACTACTTTTCACTGATCACACCACCTAGTCTTTCATTTTCCTAAGTAGTCTAGATCCCACCAATGAACATTTCAATATAAACTGACTAGTATTATATGCTGTTGCTTTGTGTATGTTAGTACTGTTACCTACTAATCATATTGCTCTCTTCATAAGGAGAGAATTTCTTATAAAATATCTCTCATAGCGCAAAGCGGATTCTTGATAAACATTGTTTTTTCTTTTCTCATCTCAGAAAAATGTGCTATCAGTTGTTTTTTCCCCCAGCAGTAGGATCAGGTTTACATATACCATTCTCACAGTTCTTTTAGCTGGCCAAAAACTCCATTTATTTACAAAAAAGTTACTAATCTACAGCCATGTATGAGTATTTGTCAGTGAGAAGCTAACAGAACTAACTCATCTAATACCACATGCTGGCAGAAAATACCATACAATTAAAACAACTGTTCAGCTCAGAAGGTATTAGCACAACATCTTTTTGTGAAGTATTATTATCTAGTTTCATCTGGATCTGCCCATGACTCTCTATTTCCTCCTTCAAACCCAGGTTCCTTACCCTGGTGTTAATTTCCTTAAAATGTGGCTATTTCTTCACTATATATTGGTAAAACAAGAAAAGGAATCATACCAACAGTATATTCTGACTCTGCATCTTAGAATATGTGAGGCAGAGAAATCATCTTATATATTCAGGCTGATTTTCTCATATTTTAAAACGTGGATAAAGCTAGACTGCATATTTCCCAAAGTATTTCACAATCCTTATGAATTTTAAAAGTTCTAAGCTTTTTAATCGCTTGACATTGAGTAGTAACATAGCAAGTCAGGTTTGCATTATAAGCATTTCTCTAATCTAAAAGCCTGATACTGAGATGGAGGCGGGGTTCCCCACATGTGAGGATGAGACTGAAGTTGGCACACAAAAGGCTGCTCCCTGAAAAGATTATAATTGTCCACTACAGACCATGTCCTGCTTCTCTCAGAGGGCCATACCAGACTAGATATTTACAAAACAATGGTGGCAGGGTGGGGTGGGAGGACCTTCATAGGTATTGAAACTTCGCCTGTCTTGCTAATGTTTTCAACTCAGTGGGCCCAGAGAAGCCAGCCTCTGATGATCAACTCTATAGTGGTGCTGCTGATACTGCCAACCAGTACTACTCAATCCAGCTTTCTTTCTTATGGGAAGAAATCTTTGCAGCCCTAAGTAGGATGTCTGGCTATGAAGAGACTAAACCAGTAGAACTAAAAATATCCAAAAGATACAAAAGTGATGTAAAGGATACTTTACAGGGCTTTAACCAATAAGATTATTTAACCAATAAGATTTAAGATTACAAAATGTTCTTCATGCCAAAAATAAAGAAAAAGACCAAAAACATGATCACACTGGCTCCTTTACTCTATTTATACTGGGTCACTGCTGGAGGGGCACAAGAGACTAACAAGAGCCACCATAATTTATACCATTGCTTTAATCTCTAAAGTATGTTGGAAACACAGCTAAGTGGTAAAGCCCAGAAACCATACTGCAATGGTCTCCCTATTATCTGTTCTGTAATAATGATTCTTAACCTTGTGAGGGGTCACTGATTCCTTGAGAATCTGATGAAAGTTTTGAATTTTCCCCAGTAAAATGAACGTATACCAAGGACTTTGCATATAAACATCTACAGGTAAAAACTTACACACACCTAAGGAGTATAGGTTTAAGAATGTCTGCTCTAGGGCTTCCCTGGTGGCGCAGTGGTTGAGAGTCCACCTGCCGATGCAGGGGACATGGGTTCATGCCCTGGTCCGGGAAGATCCCACATGCTGCGGAGCGGCTAGGCCCGTGAGCCACGCTGCTGAGCCTGCGCGTCCAGAGCCTGTGCTCCGCGAGGCCACAACAGTGAGAGGCCCGCGTACCGCCAAAAAAAAAAAAAAAAAAAAGAATGTCTGCTCTAGAGGAAGAAATGAATGGAAGAAAAGCTACTAGAAGGCCATGACTTCAAGGAAAGAAACAACACAGGGAGTATAAAGGGACATCTCCTTTGACAAAAAATCACTAAGAATAAAAATGCACAGATCCACCTCCTAGAGCAATGAAAATAAAAATAAAAATTAACAAATGGGACCTAATTCAACTTAAAAGCTTTTGCACAGCAAAGGAAACTACAAAGAAGATGAAAAGACAACCCTCAGAATGGGAGAAAATATTTGCAAACAAAGTGATAGATAAGGGATTAATCTCCAAAATATACAAACAGCTTGTGCAGCTCAGTATCAAAAAAACAAACAACCCAAACAAAACATGGGTGGAAAATCTAAACAGACATTTCTCCAAAGAAGACATACAGATGGCCAAAAGGCACATGAAAAGATACTCAACATCACTAATTATGAGAAAAATGCAAATCAAACTACAATGAGGTATCACCTTACACTGGTCAGAATGGCCATCATCAAAAAATCTACAAACAATAAACGCTACAGAGGGTGTGGAGAAAAGGGAACCCTGCTACACTGCTGGTGGAACTGTAAACTGGTATAGCCCCTATGGAGAACAGTACTATGGAGGTTCCTTAAAAAACTAAAAATAGAGCTACCATATGATCCAGCAATCCCACTCATGGGCATATATCCAGAGACAACTGTGATTTGAAAAGATACATGCACCCCAATGTTCACTGCAGTACTATTTACAAGAGCCAGGACAGGGAAGCAACCTAAATGTCCATCAACAGAGGAATGGATAAAGAAGATATGGTACATATATACAATGGAATATTAGCCATAAAAAAGAATGAAATAATGCCATTTGCAGTAACATGATAGACCTAGAGATTGTCATACTGAGTGAAGTCAGACAGAGAAAGACAAATATCATATGTATCACTTATGTGTGGAATCTAAAAAAATGGTACAAATGAACTTATTTACAAAACAGAGAGTCACATATGTAGAAAATAAACTTATGGTTACCAGAGGGGAAGGAAGGGAAGGATAAATTGAGAAATTGGGATTGACATATACACACTACTATACATAAAACAGATAACTAATAAGGGCCTACTGTATAGCACAGGGAACTCTACTCAATACACTGTAATGGCCTATATGTGAAAAGAATCTAAAAAAGAGTGGATATATGTATATGTATAACTGATTCACTTTGCAGTACACCTGAAACTAACACAACATTGTAAGTCAACTGTACTCCAAGAAAATTGTTTTAAAAACACGTTTTCAAACTTATACCAAAAATATTTCATTTACCTAATGACATATTATCTGGTTCCAAAAACACAATAAACTTATCAGTTACATCTGCATATTTCTAAAAGAATATTCGTAAAGTCATGTGCACAAAGTATCTCTGAATACCTACTTGTGCTCTCCTTTTCAGTTTGACTTTTCTTTGGAATTCGATATACCTCCTGCAAAAAATAAACCAAAAGAAAAGTTATCAGTGTGGAATGGAAGTGGTGATTGCTTTGAAGCTGAATGATTTCACATGGCAACAAAGAAATGGGGAGGAACAATCTGGTATTTAATTATTCTCCAAAATTTTACCTATGTTTGGCTTTAAATAAAAATAGATCCTGGTCCCTTAAAAAACAAGTAAAAACATATAGCACAAATACATATTTATTTCTAAACGTCTACCAGGCTTGTATGACCTCATTAGCCAAGTAGCAGACTAAGTAACTAAGACATTTTATTTCTGGCAGGAATACACCTCCTGATAATCTTAATTTCTATATGCCTTCTGCACATAAAATGAAGTCATATATAGTTCATTTACTGAGAGTATGCATATGAACAAGTCAAACATCTCACTTGCCATCCCTACTTAAGGGAAGAAAAGGTTAGTAATACCTCAGCTATATAAACACACTTCAGAAAAATTACATGTGTAAACACAATTCCTGCTATTCAGCGTATTTTTCTATAAATACAAAATCAACTTGGCTAATGGCCAAATCTACTTTTATACTGCTGTTATTTTAAAAAAGGAAAGTTTTGGATCATTGTTGCTCTTCAAATACTATCTAATACTTTATCAAAATTGTTCTTGAGAAATATAAACTACGTTTTTAAGCCTTGAGGTACCTTTTCTTGCTGTATGAATCTAAAGCCTAGCAACAATTCTGTTCCCTGACAATCTCTCACTGTTCTAAGTCCATCAAGTAGCTCTTGGGCACATACTTCCTTATCCAGTCACCTTGTTAAGTGGGCAAATGGCAAACCCACACATTCTCAATGGTACATCATATAAAACCCTTCCTTCAGAGTAATCTCATAATACTGACCACACCTATATGACCTGGTAATCCCATTTTTTAGGAAATGTACTCCAAGAAAAATCTTTCCACACGATTTTTGGTTCTAGCAGCATTTGTGGAAAACGAAATAACCCACATGTCACACAACTGAGGAAAGTTCAAGATGTAATATTCACCTGCCAGTAAAAATGCCAATGTGGACTTTACAGACGCAGGGCAATCTGTATGAATGCATTATCTTATTTGAATTTCAAAACAACCCTATGAGGTTGCTATCTCCATTTTACAAATGGGAAAACTTACTTAAAAAGTTTAGCAACCTGCCCAAGGTTATGATGCCTTTTATCATCTGTACCAGATGACACAGTGGCATTATTCTGGGAAGGAGTACCATTTTGGGGATTTATCCACAAATGTAGGTAACATCCACTATCCCCCTAGCCTTTTCTAAGTAGAACTTCCACTACAGCTGGGATTCTCAATGCTGGCTGCAGAATTAAACCACTCCAGGCAACTTTTATAGATACACTATCCAAAACAAATTGAATCTAAAATTCTGGGAATGGGTCCCAGGCACCTGTATTTTTTAGAAGTTCCCCAGATGATTCTGATGTCCAGAGAAAGTGGACATCACTGAATTACTGGCTTCTCTTAACAGCCCTCACTCATTCCTTCCTCACAAGGGAGAATTTGAGAGAAAGAACTATGTATGTCTGTCCTCAGTTCAGAGCCATCTGGGCTCTTTCTCCTCTTGGGCTGCTTCTGCCTGTAGAGAGGATACATTCTAATCTATTCCTCTGAGGGATGCCTGGAGTTGTCTAATTCAATGTCTACCTGTGGGTATGAATCAGGGATAAAGAGAGGAAGGACTTAACACTTTTAGCTCTGACTTCTCTATCCACCTCTTGGAGGGGTTAACAAACTCAGGAAAAAGAAGGCCACTTATCAGCACCTACCCACATTATAGGGAAAAACAGGTATTCTGCTAATTTTAAAAGTTTGAAAATGACTGTTGCATTAGGTACTCTGTAAACCTAGGCACTCCAAAAGAGTTCATTCATGAAGGGTTCTCAGAACAGATATATCGAGGATGATATCTGAGTCAACTAAGAATTACACAATTTTAACTCAGTTTCTTTTGCAGAAGGTCTCAGCATTACAGGTATTCATTACAAACATTTATAGCAATTTATTACAGACCTCAAGTTTGGGGCCCATTCTATGGTGGTGGTTAATATACCGAGGAAATGCTTCTCAAAGATACATTCTTAATTCCATTCAAAAGTTTAGAGCAACTGCTAACTAGAAAATGCATTCTGATCACTGAGTTGTACACATGAAACTAATATTGTATGTCAAACATACTTCAATTTTAAAAAAAGGATTCAGGGACTTCCCTGGTGGTCCAATGGGTAAGACTCTGAGTTCCCAATGCAGGGGGCCCGGGTTCAATCCCTGGTTGGGGAACTAGAGCCTGCATGCATGCCACAACTAAGAAGTTCGCACACCGCAAGGAAGATCCAGTGCAGCCAAAATAAATAAATAAAAATTTTAAGTATTCTGATGTTCACAAAATGGCTGATTACTACTGATTAGTGACGAAGAGCTACTGACTATTAGAGTATGCCTAACACTATGGGGAAGTTCTATCAACATGCACCTAAGCACTTGGAATTACTAACTTCCTCCTCTTCATATTGTCAAAGCTGTATACAAAATTTAAGCTGGAAACTAAGATTATCTACTTTGAGGCCCTGAAATGCAACAGAATCTTTCCAAAGTCCCACAACAACAAAAAGTAAGAAGGAAGCAGCCCTATAAAGATTACTGTAACATTTCTTAGGATCATTCTGTCTTGTGAATAAACAGCAATAGTGTTAGCCTACATGATATGAAAATCTGTTTGGAATAATGTCACACCCGCATGGCACAGAATCCATTGCTGAAACTGCTATCTGAGTTGCCTTCATTCACACTAATCCTTTATCTAAATGGGAGATTAAAAAAATTAAATTAGAGGATAAGAGTCAGAAGTCCTACATCTCCTAACAGGTAGCCAGAAAGCAGGGAGAGAGAAAACTGAGGGTAAGAAAGTATTAAAAAGAAAAAAAAAAGAAAACAAAATTTTTTAGAACTGACATATTAAGTCACCAGATAGAGAGGGCTCAGAGCACCTCCCACAACAAAGGAGTCGAAATAGTATCAAAATAGCAACACTGTAAGCTGGAAAATGATACAATGACATCTTGAACATTTTGAAGGAAAATCTATTTCCAAATGGTAATTATATGATTTGCCAAACAAGAATAGAATAAAGGTATTTTTCAGAGTTATAAGGTCTCAAAATTTTGTCTACCAGAAGAGAATGTTAAAGACACTCCAATGTGGAGGGCCTAAAATTCAAGATTCTAGATTGTGTGAAATACATCTCATAAATTGTCTACAGTGTACATTGCACCATACTAGGTACAATAATTTATAAGACCTAACAATAATTCCTGACAGAGTGATGGAAAATCTTTCGAAAGTTACTGTAAATGAATTACCCAGCATTTAGATGATATAGGCATAGATTAATAAATATATGTACATAAATTCAACAATGGGGCATTCAAAATAGATCAAGTGTCCAAGCTCTACTTCTGTGCAAATAACTAGGCGGTGGTGGCTATTTAAAATAACACCTGCAAAAGATCCGAAGATGTCATTCTAACCTGTCAGAATTTCAAAAAAAGTTGTCTTCCAACAATACTGTCCCTAACTGAAAAGTTTAGTTATCTAGAAAGTGTTTTTAAAGCAACTGTTATAATTAGCAATATAATTTTTTTACAAAAGGGGTACATGTTTTGACTATGGGTTACTTGAAAAATGATGAAGATATTAACAGAAATGTACACCAAAGACGAAGAATTAGCTTATAAAACAAGATTATGAGCTGGAGTCTGAAGGGCAAGTGGAGGAGAAAGCCAAGAGAAGCCTGAAGGGACTTCCCTGGTGGTGCAGTGGTTAAGAGTCCGCCTGCCAATTCAGGGGACACAGGTTCAAGCCCTGGTCCGGGAAGACCCCACATGACACAGAGCAACTAAGCCCGTGTGCCACAACTACTGAGCCTGCGCTCTAGAGCCCGCAAGCCACATGTACTGAACCCACGTGTCACAACTAGTGAAGCCCGTGCACCTAGAGCCCGTGCTCTGCAACAAGAGAAGCCACCACAATGGGAAGCCCGCACACTGTAACAAAGAGTAGCCCCTGCTCACCACAAGTAGACAAAGCCCATGCACAGCAACGAAGACCCAATGCAGCCAAAAATAAATAAGTAAATAAATTTATTTTTTAAAAAAAGGAGAGAGAAAGCCGAAAATATAGACCTAAAATTCAGGAAATAGGCTAAAGCAAGAGATCCACAATCTGGGAAAACCTTAAGAAAACAATCGATGTATAGTGTTACTGTCAGAGATTGCCAAGAGAGGAGGTACATAGAGAAAAACAGACTGACTTGAAGGAAAATGAAATTAAAAGGTGGAAAGTCTTTATACCTGATTCATACTGTAAGTTTTCCATTTCTTAATAAACACCTGCCAGCAATCTCACTTCTGGGTATGTATCCAAACAAAATGAAAAGCAGATCTCAAAGAGATGCCTGACTCCCATGTTCACTGCAGCATTATTCACAATAGCCAAAATACAGAAATAACCTAAGTGTCCATCAAGAGATGAATGGATAGAGAAGCTATGGTATATGTATACAATGGATATCATTCAATCAGGAGAAAGAAGGGCACCTTGCCACTTGTGACATGGATAGACCCTGAGGGTATTATGCTAAATGAAATAAGACAGAGAAAGACAAACACTGTACAATATCACTTATTATATGTAATCCAAAATAGCTGAACTCATAGAAACAGAGACTAAAACAGGGGTGAAGGGAGGTAGAGTTAGAAACTTGGTCAGTTACAAACTTCCAATTATAAGATGAGTAAGTTCCGGGGATCTAATGTACAGCATAGTGATACAGTTAATAATACTGTACTATATACTTGAAAGTTGCCAAGAGAATAGATCTTTAATATTCTCCCCGAAAAAAAGAAATGGTAATAATGCAGGTGTTAGCTAACACTATGGTGGTAACCAGTTTGCAATATATATGT